GAGGAAATACCCCAGGACACCATCCATCGTCTCATTAGGAGAATAGGATGTATAAAAGCACGTGGGGGCCATACTACTACTGAGGACCATTTTGAGTTGCTGCAATTAAATTTCAGTAAAATGGACTAGTCTGCTGCATCATTTTTTGACTTTGATTTTCAGGGTGTCTTTGAATTCAGTCCTCTGTAGGTTGATATTTTTCATTTCCATCAAATGATGGGGCATCTTTATGTTCCTAACATACTACCCCGTCCATATCAGTATAGATATCCAGCAGGAGATTTTTTTCCCCATTCTGATCTGATGTGCTTTAAAGTGTTCCTTTCATTTTTTTGATCAGTGTATATTAAGAACAGTAACAAAGTAGCCAGGCCCACAGAGAAGGCTACATCACCAGTGCCTTTCAGGGAGATCTCGTCTGTACATTATTCGATCTTGTAAGATTTTGTGAAATCTTGGGGGGAAAGTTTTTTTCTAATCGGCTGGCTGATTCAGAATAATGACTCAGATGACAGAGAGTGTGCAGGCCCAGGATCTTCCTGTGCATCATTGTAGGGGGCGGAATACTGTTCGGGAAGTAAAGGGATAGGAAATCTGTAGCCCTTATTAAAAATAGATGGCAGGATAAAAGCACCAAGGAAAGAAAGGTAATAATGGAAACACAAGCCTGTATGTATTGTAATCAGAAAACAATTAATTGCCATTTTAAAACATTTAGAATAACTCCTTTATTTTATTTTGGAAGATCTACATGAAGATCTGCTTTAGGTACAGTGATCCTTTAAATGACCCCCTTCTCCTCCCCCCAAGTAATTTGCATGTGTAGAAAAATCTAATCTCATTCCTATGAAGAGACCGTCCACCTTTGGGACACTAAATGATAAAAGAAAAAAGTTTTGGTTTGGATTTAACCTCCACATAACCCCTAAAATTACCCTGGAAGCTGCATTCACTTAAAGCTGGTTGTTTATTCCCCCTGCAAAGCAGCATCAGCTAGCGCAAGATTGCCCACCACACTATCACAGTCCCTGTTATTACCAGTATAGTGTCATAGCTGCATAAATTTCAGCATATATACCATAGTTTGTAGATGCTATAACCTTTGCGCAAACCAATTAATATACACTTATTGGGATTTTTTTTTACCAAAGACATTTTTTTTATTGGCTATGTTTTATAACAGAAATGCATTAGCATGGGAGCTGAGTGTTGGCCGGCAGGATTTTATTTTGTTCAAGCATTTTTGCTTGAACATTTCTTTTTCAATTACCCCCAGCCAATGAAAAGCTGGTTACTAGGGGGAAAAAAAAGTGAAATATGTGTATTTTTGCTCACTTTTTACACTTTTTTTTAGACCCTCATTTAGGTCTATTTGGGCCGAAAAATGCTTGAAGCTTGTAGCTCATACGGAGCTCATGTACTTTTTGACCTACAAGCCTAACCACTTACTGCCTGCCCACAATAGCTGTACTGCTAGTAGGCAGCAGCTGCAGGATGGGCAACGTATTTGTACATCGCGGTCTTTCTTCAGGGTGCATGCACGCCCCCCTGCCGACCCGTTCTGTGATTGGACACAGCACGAGTTTGGCAGCTGGTTTGAGCCAATGAGTTTGGTTGAAGTCAGCTGATCTGCTGTGTCCAATCACACAGTGTTCTGAGTTTATAAAACACAGGACTCTGTGTATAGGGAACAGAGAGCTGGTTGTTTATTCCCCCTGCACAGCAGGGGGAATAAACAGCCATACAGTAAGGTAATAGCAGCACATATTACACACATTACACATTGTTAAGCATGCAATTAACACCATTGTCTCTGAATGTTAACCCCTTCCCAGCCAGTATCATTAGTACAGTGACAGTGTACAGTATTAGCACTGGTCATTTAGTGTACCTCCCACCTAGCTAGCAGCTAGCGCCAGATTGCCCTCCACACTATCACAATCCCAGTATACATTGCTGATCACTGCTATTACCAGTATAGTGTAATAGCTTCATAAATTCCAGTATATATACCATAGTTTGTAGATGCTATAACCTTTGCACAAACCAGTTAATATACACCTATTTGGATTTTTTTTTTTTACCAAAGACATTTTTTATTGGATATGTTTTATAAAAGAAAGTAGAAAATATATTTATTTTCACAATTTTCAGGGTTTTTTCATTTATATTGCAAAAAAATTAAAGAAACAGTGAAGATCAAATACCACCAAAAGACAGCTCTGTGTGAAAACAATTATATAAATTTAATTTATGCACAGTGTTGCATGACTGCACAATTGCCCATTAAAGTAGCACAGTGCTGAATAGCAAAACAAATGTCCTGTCATGAAGGGGGTAAAATCTTCTGGAACTGAGGTGGTTAAGGGTCTTTTCACATTGATACATTTTTACCTTCCAAAAAAGCAATAAAAATATTTCCCTTTAAATCCTATGGGACTCTTCACACCACTGCACTGCGGTTACAATGCATTTTGAAAAGTCCTGCATGCTGCATCTTTGGTGCACTTTTCAAATCCACATAAAAAATACAGATCACCAAGGAAGGGAATGGAAAACAAGTCAAAAACACATAAAAAATGCACCACAGTTGCATTTTTGGTGCGTTTTTGAGTCGGTTTTTGTCCATGGGTACATGCCAACTAGAAAGCACACCAGAAACGCATATGCATTTATGCGTTTTTTTCAAGGGAGCAGGGAAAAGGCACAATTTAAAACCACTGGATTTAAAATATTGACCATTTTGGAGCTTCAAGCTACAAAACACTCAGGTGTCAATGGGGGCCTTACCCATAAATTCAACCTATATTCCAAATCCCCAAATCTAACCCTAATCTACAACCTCAGGATAAATATAAATGTAATATTAATGTAATTAATATTAAATAAAAATACTATCTTGGCAATTCTGGTGGCGAGGATACTAACATGGTCACAGTGTCATAAAGGCCAAAACTGAAGTTATCTGCTTTTCTAAAAATTCCTATTAGTAACGCGGATTTGACAGCATCAACACTGCATCTCGCTTAAAAAAAAAAAGATCCAGATATATTATTTCAGATCTGGCACTTGGTGATTGGCACTTTCAGACTCGCCACCTCGGATAAAAGCTTTTAGAGGAAGAATTTGTCACTTTTCAATTTTTGATTGCATGTCTTCCACCCACACAATGTATCACCGGTACAGCAATATCCCCGCTACAAACACACACATACAAGTCTAAGGAAGGAAAGAGATAAAAGTGGAGGAGCTGCTCGCAGCAACCAACCACAATTCAACAGTCATTGCTTTGTAGGAATGACAAGGACAGACAGCACCTAGCTATGTTTTTGGTCAACAATTCTAAGATTCTTTTCCACCAATTTTTAGAAATCAGTTCCATAATTAGGAAAAATGTGGAATAGGTGTTACAAATATTTCTGGTATACGACATTTTCTCAGCAAGGACCCATCAATGAACCTCATAGACTTTCAGCACCCCAAGCACTCATCCCACAATGCTCCAGTGACTCACGCCAAGGGAACCCGTCTCAGCTCAATGCACACAAAATGAAAGAAAGAAAATGGGACGCCACACTCCAAGGAAACAGCCTAAGTGTAGAGAAGATTACAGCAACTTCAACCTGACTCCTCCTAGGCCATGCCCCCCTAATGCATTCAACCCAGGGGCAGACTGACAACTCATGGGGCCCCCGGGCAATAGGGGATCATGGGGCCCCTGTGTCCTTGCCCAAACTCAAAAAAGCCTATGAAAAAGGTACCAGGGGCATCTCATGGGGCCCCTTACTGACCCCGGGCCCTCGGGCAGTGCCCGAGTTTCCAAATGGTCAGTCCACCCCTGATTCAACCCCACCCACAGGGCTTAGTCAGCCCTAATGACTAAGCCCTGTGGGCGGGGCGAAACGCGTCAGTGGCTTGGAGGAGTCAGACTGAAGCTGCTTCATTTTCTCTACACTAAGTGCAGAGTCCCATCTTCTTCCACCCAAGGACGCTTCAGCTATTTAAATAAATACAATCCTCCATTGTCTCTTTGCTCTCTAAAAACCAACAGCTTAACCCCTTGACACTGCCGTAACACAAATATGCGGCCTCACAGAACTGGGCTTTTTTTCGTAGGGCAGCATATCTGTGTACCTATCTTTCTGCTGGGAGCGTGCCACGCACCGCGCTCCCAGCACCAAGACCGTGGTGTCACTGAGAGCACCGGGTCCTGTTCTAACGATCAGGACCTGGGTCTCCATATTCTGGGTCACATGATCGCTGTGATAGCCTCTGATTGGCTATCACAGTGATCAGTCACTGTACAGCCCGGCCCCCTTGTTTTTTTTTTCTCTCTATTAATGTATTGTATCTCTCTAACTCCTGGGAAAGAGGGAAAAAAATGTTTGTAAAAAAGATAAATAAATAAAATATATAAATATTAAAATATAAAAGAAAACAAATAAAGAAAAAATACCTAGATCAAGGTTTGATCTAGTTCAGTGCCAGGTTAAGTGTTTGGGTCATGGTCAAGGTCAAAGGTCAGGATTTTAAAAAATAAATTGGTGTCAGTGTGTTTTAGGTAAAAAAAAAAAAGACAAAACAAAATGCGCACTATTGTTTCTGGGCTGTACTACGGGTACAAACAACAAATAACATACACATATATGGTATCGCTGCGATCGTCAAGAACTGGAGAATTTATTTTGGGTTGTTTTTGGTGGTAGGTTATGGTCGTAACAAGAAACACACAGCTAAATAAAAAATAATATTTTTTTTAATTATTTTGAGTCAGATTTCCTTTGATAATAAAAACAAAAATTAGGAGATATCCATTACTATTTACCACCAAATGAAAGCCTAATTTGTCCTGAAAAAAACAAGATATAATTCACCTGGATGTACAAAGTAGTTCCGATGATATGTACTGTTTTACTAACACATGTCAACGTTGCAAAATTGTGCTTAGGCATTTAGATTTGTTTTACCCTTAGGCGTGAAGGGGTTAATATCTTCCTTACCTTGTGGTGCGGTTTCGATGATACCATTGGTTATCCCTTCAGGAATAAATCTCCATTGGAAAACAGAATGGTCAGCTCCGCCTGTGCTGAGAACCCACTGGAAGTCCTGTGACCAGCGAACGTTGGTGACGTGGGCAGAATGGCCGACATATTTGCGGAATTTAGCTCCTGCAAGAAATGAGTAAATGATAAAGAAAAGTGAAGTTGCTTTTCTAACATGAGGCTGGGTTGTACAGCCAGAGGCTCAGAAAGTGGAAGCTTCCAGCAAAGGATAATGATGAGCATTTTGCGTAGTCATGGCTACATTTGTAATCCAGTCATTTGAAAGTCCACGTGGACAAGATAGTTAAGCAGCTTAAAGAGCATTTCCACTTTTGTTAAGAAAAATTATTCCCCTCTGGGTAATCTATGTACATTGCAAGGATTTTATTAAACTTTGCTGCATATTCCTACCTTTTGTTATTCTGAAGAAATAGCTGTTTGTTTGCCTGGGTTCACGTGGAAAGTGAATGTGAATGGCAGTTATTTTATAATTATTATTCAGCTAATGCAATTGCAGGGCTCTAATAAAGAACGTGGCAGGGTCTGCATCCCTTTAGATATTCTTTCCCTTTGGGTGTATCTCACCAAAAATGATACTGACTTGTATTTTAGTGCAGACTTCTGGGAAAATCAATGAGCCAATCACGCAAACAGGAAATTACATTTCTAGGGGCCACTCTGTACACCATCTGTGTACAGAACACCTCCAGGCTGCCAGAGATTGCATTGCATTTTATGGAGAATTACAGTGCTGCAGATTGAAAAGGAAAGGTCGTTTTTAATAACATTCAATTACAATATGACTTGTGCACCAATTGTATACAATGCTGAAGTCCCCATTCTCCACTTTGCAGTTTGTTGCACTTCGGCCATTAAGTGACAATGAAAAACAAGAGGAATTCTATTACTGTTCATTTATTTGATGTATTATTTATTTATTATTGTGCTTGATCTGGGATGCAGGAGCCTTGGGGCCACTCTGATAATTAATGTTTCCATCCTTCTGTCCAATACACTAAACATCTAGCTGCCTATGATTTGCAGTCATCAGAGTTGAATGCCTTTCTTACCATCTCCTGCACCCACCTACATAAGAATTGAACATCTTAAAGGTATTGGCTGTGGGCTGCGGCTCCCCCCACTTGGCTTTGGACGGTCATCTTGGCTCCTTGGGGGTTTGAATGCCAAATCGGGTGGTCTTTGTGGGTCAACTTTGAATGACCTTTTATACACTCTGGCAGTATATATATACCCTTCATATTTTCCCTGATGAAGATTAAATTTTATTTATTCGAAACGCGTCACTTATACCTCAATATAAAAATGACTAGTGGCTGTGTTGTCCATTGTTATTAATATTTGATTGTATATTATACGTCTAAAGGTACAGATTGTAAATCATTTATGCCAGAGATATGAAATTGGTTTTATTATGTCTGTTTTAATAATTAATTTTGTACTAATAAAAAATATTTTTTCACATATTTATGCTGTCATGGCTGCAAAGTCACATGGGAGACGATTTTCTTTTTGATATAGTTCAGGGATGTAGCAGCCTCTGACTCAGGATCACCCACTCATTTCAATTGTTTACTATAGGTACTTACATAGTTCAGGGACGTAGCAGCCTCTGACTCAGGATCACCCACCCATTTCCATTGTTTACTATAGGTACTTACATAGTTCAGGGACGTAGCAGCCTCTGACTCAGGATCACCCACCCATTTCCATTTCTATAGGTGTTTCCTATAGGTACTTAGGGTACTGTTCAATTTACACACTCAGGCATTTTCCATTGTTTATTACTTAGGTACTGTATTATTATTATTTATTATTATAATACAGTATTTATATAGCGCCAACAGTTTGCTCAGCGCTGTACATTATAATGGGAGACAGTACACGAGACAGTACAGTAACAATACAATACACAAGGGGTTCGAGGGCCCTGCTCCTTGGAGCTTACAATCTAGGAGGGAGGGGAGAGTGGTACAGGAGAAAATAGCTGTGGGGGATGGAGTGGTGGGAAAGCAGAGGAGATCGGCAATTAGGTGAGGGCAGGGTAGGCTTCCTTGAAGAGATGGGTTTTCAGGGTGCGCCTAAAGGTGAGGAGGGTAGGTGACAGTCTGATGGATTGGGGTAGTGAGTTCCAGAGGATGGGGGAAGCCCTGGTGAAGTCCTGGAGATGGGCATGGGAGGAGGAGACCAGGGAACTAGAGAGTAGGAGGTCTTGTGAGGAGCGGAGAGTGCGTTTTTGGGTGGTAGATGGATATCAGGTCGGTGATGTAGTTTGGGGCAGTGTTATGAACAGCTTTGTACGTCAGTGTTAATAATTTGAATTTTATGCGTTGGGCAATTGGAAGCCAGTGGAGGGATTGGCAGAGGGGGGGTTGATACGGAGCGGTTAGTAAGGTGGATGAGTCTGGCCGCAGATTTTAGGATAGACTGAAGAGGGGATAGCCTGTGTTGGGGTAGGCCGGCGAGGAGGGAGTTACAGTAGTCAAGTCGTGATATAATAAGGGAGTGAATGAGTTGCTTTGTAGTTTCTGGAGTTAGGAACGTGCGTATTTTGGAGATGTTGCGGAGGTGGAGTCTGCATGAATTTGTCAGCGATTGGACCTGGTGCTGGAAAGACTTTAGCTGGATTAGACTGTAATAGCATTACTTATTTACATATAGGGTATATTCACATCAGTCCCTGCTGTCAAGGAGCTTACAATATAAGGTCCCTAACTCACATTCACACATATTAGGGCCAGTTTAGACAGGAGCTAATTACCTACCAACATATGTTTGGAGTATGGGAGGAAACCGGAGTACCCGGAAGAAACCCACGCAGGCGCAGGGAGAACATGCAAACTCCAGGCAGGTAGTGCCGTGGCTGGGTTTTGAACCAACGACCCTAGTGCTGCCAGGTGGAAGTGCTAACCACTTTTCATGGGATTCATTTACACCTATTCAATGCACTTCCATGCAATTTGAAAAAAAAAGATGTAGGTTCTCCTTTTGGGCTCTATAGACTTCAATGGTAGCATATGCATTAAAAATACATTAACAGACATGGAAACATATGACAAAAGTATGAAAAGTGCACAAAAAAAACAAATGCAAAAGCACAAATTTAAACTTGGACTTACAAAGTAATGTTTACAAAGGCTGACAGGTTCGCTTTGATAGGTTGTAGCATGCAGCACTCGTCTATTACTTACCGACCCCGAACACCACGGCTATTATTTTATTCATAGCTCAGCCTTTCAAAAATAATCAATTCACTCTATCCTGGAAAGGCACGTTTTCTTTTTTCGGTCATATTATAAATATTTAAAGCACGTATTCTAAGATAGGATCTAAAAAACGTTACCCATGTGAGTTGGATTATCATGTCTGAAGACTTGCTGGAAAGTCTTACTTATGTCTATGGAGTGTGAGACCTCAGTGTAGGTATACACCAAGTGCACTGATTAATAAATAAAATAGTATGCTCTGCATGAACACCATCTATTATACATCAGCCATTTACTGGAGGACACAATGTACAGCCCACTCTAGCAAAATCAATTGAATCCACATCGCTCAGGTTGTCCCTTGATGTAAAATAATTACTGTACTTCTTTTGTAACAGATAAGTCGCTTGGAATTTTACGGTTGTCTATTGAAAAAAAGTAAATGAGTATTACAAAACATGGACACTGTCCTGCTTGTGTACTATTTTTCATCTAAGATATACTACAGTAAGATATAACGGGAGATTTACTAAGGCTTGGTTCACACTTACGCATTTTGTAGTACGTTTTGCAGAAACTACAGTCCATTTAACATGGTTTGCTATGGGACACAATCACATCTATGCTTTTAAAGCCGCTATATTTATGGAAAGGGTCAGGGACTTTTTTTTTTCACAGATTGCATTTTTGGTGCAATGAAAACACACCAAAAACCCAAGTGTTGTGCTTTTGATGCGTTTTATGGGGTTTTTTTTTGCCAATAAGAATGTATTGAGATGTGACTTTGCTGTCACCATAAACTCGTTGGCACTCAAGTCGCATCAAAGCTGAAGCGACTTTGAAAAGGTTCCTGTACTACTTTGATGCAACTTTGAGTGCCAGTGAGTGTATTGTCACATCAAAGTCGTATTAATGTCACACTCAATACTTTCGTATTGGGGAAAAAAAATACAAAATGCATAAAAAACGGCCCAAAAACGTGTTCACAAAACGTACCACAAAACCACAAAATCGAAGCGACTTTGAAAAGGTTCCTGTACTACTTTGATGCAACTTTGAGTGCCAGTGAGTGTATAGTCACAAAAGTCGCATTAACGTCACACTCAATACTTTCGTATTGGGGAAAAAAAACACAAAATGCATAAAAAAAGGACAAAAACGTGTTCAAAAACGTACCACAAAACCACAAAATCGAAGCGACTTTGAAAAGGTTCCTGTACTACTTTGATGCAACTTTGAGTGCCAGTGAGTGTATAGTCACATCAAACTCGCATTAATGTCACACTCAATACTTTCGTATTGAGGAAAAAAAAACACAAAATGCATAAAAAAACGGCCCAAAAACGTGTTCAAAAACGTACCACAAAACCACAAAATCGAAGCGACTTTGAAAAGGTTCCTGTACTACTTTGATGCAACTTTGAGTGCCAGTGAGTGTATAGTCACATCAAAGTCGCATTAACGTCACACTCAATACTTTCGTATTGAGGAAAAAAAACACAAAATGCATAAAAAAAGGCCCAAAAACGTGTTCAAAAACGTACCACAAAACCACAAAATCGAAGCGACTTTGAAAAGGTTCCTGTACTACTTTGATGCAACTTTGAGTGCCAGTGAGTGTATAGTCACATCAAAGTCGCATTAACGTCACACTCAATACTTTCGTATTGGGGAAAAAAAACACAAAATGCATAAAAAAAAGGACCAAAAACGTGTTCAAAAACGTACCACAAAACCACAAAATCGAAGCGACTTTGAAAAGGTTCCTGTACTACTTTGATGCAACTTTGAGTGCCAGTGAGTGTATAGTCACATCAAAGTCGCATTAATGTCACACTCAATACTTTCGCATTGGGGAAAAAAAAACACAACATGCATAAAAAAAGGACCAAAAAAAATGTACCACAAAACGCATCAAAACGCATCAAGCACAACATGCATAGGTGTGAACCAGGCCTAAAACTGGAGTGCCCATAATCTGGTGCAGCTGTGCATGGGAGCCAGTCAGCTTCTAACCTCAACTTGCTCATTAAGCTTTGACAATTTATTATTATATTATTATTATACAGTATTTATATAGCGCTAAAAGGTTTGCTAAGCGCTGATAAATAAAATCCAGTTTAGTAAATCCCCCCCATCAAGTCCTTCTAAAACCAAAATCTATGTTTTCACCAAGAGCTAAAATTCCTCAGTGCAGGCTTGGAAAACTTATTCCTGGGTTGATTTTTCGGTTTAAAAAATGCCTCTTAAAGGAAAACTCAATTTTCACAAAAAAAAATAATAATATAACACAAACACCGATTGGCCATAACATTATGACCACCAACAGGTAAAATTATTAACATTGATTATCTCATTGCAATGGCGTCTAAAAGTGGGTGGGATATATTAGGCAGCAAGTGAACATGTTGTCCCTCCAGTTGATGTTTTCAAGCAGGAAAAAAATGGGTAAGGTAAGGATTTGAGTGACTTTGACAAGGGCCAAATTATAATGACTAGACAATAACATCTAGTCATCAGAGCAATTATAACGATGGAATTCTGACCACAACTATAAGGAGTAAACCCCAATGAATTGGTTTTGTAAGATCACTAGTAACCTGCACAGTATGACTCTTTGACTCTCTTATTAACCTATATTATCTATTTTTGTTTCATAAGTAACAGTAAGTTAATCTTTCACATTAAAGAGGTACTTACCTGTGCCTGGGGTCTAGCGCTGTCTTTCTGCAGCTGGTTCTTCTTACTGTTTCAACCCATTTCACATACATTTTGCGGGTCCCCGGTAACACCAACGTGAATATGGGAGCCAATTGTGGATTCCTGTGAAACCATAGCCATCTCCCCACTGCGGACAGATTTCAAAGTTATTCCTAAATATTACTTACATTAAAAAACGGACATGTATGAGCACACGTAGCGCTTTGGGAAAGGTCCTGCAGCCTCCTGGGATATGTCCAAGGAGGCTGTGGGAGGGAGGGGGCAAGGCAAGAAAGGCCATCCCCGCCTAGGTAGGGATTGAGGAAGTGGGAGTGGGTTCCGATCAAAATTTGTTTTCACCCCCCCTCAACCCATTGAAAAAAAAACCTGTAACTCAGTTACAGGCTCAGGGGAGGGAGCGAATCATGGGTACGTCACTTTCTGAGTGAAGATCCACCTTAAATTAAAGGGTCGGTTCACCCAAAGGTGAGAATTACACTACAGTATACTGGGCTGAGTTACACCTCCCTGCTAAAGTTCCTGGTTCTGATACCATCCATCCTGCAGCCTGTTATTCTTCATCTTCTGATATCTATGGCATCCTTACAAGGTAGATTGAGGTGTGCCATTGTCACCAAAATCTCCCTGTACACAGTAATGATGCACAGTATTCCCCGGCACCCCCACACATTACTAATCTTAGAAGTTACAATGACTTCAACACATCAGCAGCATCTGCATAATCCATATTATTGTTGGCGCCAGTTTAGAATTTAGCAAATATTATAGTGAAGTACACAATGGGGTTGATTTACTAAAGGCAACTAGACTGTGCACTTTGCAAGTGCAGTTGCTCCAGAGCTTATTAAATGTGATGAAGGTTCACTTTGTAAAGAATACCCAATCACGTACAAGGAAAATAAAAAAACAGCATGTTTGCTTACACATGATTGGATGATGAAAGTCAGCATCGCTTCTGCTCATTTACTAAGCTCTGAAGCAACTGCACTTGCAAAGTGCACAGTCTATTTGCCTTTAGCAACTCAACACCAAAGAGTGGTTCTTTTCATTTATCAAATATAAGAAAGGTCACAAACCTTTTTTTAAACTTGGAAATCTGAATAATTTCACCAGTCCAAAGTCATCTCCTGTCACCAAAGCTGAGCTGTTGAAATTGGCATCCACTGAGTTGATGTCGGTAAGGTCTGTGTACTTTGGCCATATTCCACTGACTTCTGGTCCAACTACACAAGTCCATGAGAACCAGTGAATCCCTTTGATCTCATCCTTGTTTGTCAGATGCTTACCAGCTGCAATACAGAAATACATATCTTAATAATGTATATAATGATTTCTATAATCCCAGAGAATATTTAATATGCAACTGTAATTAAAACCAATCTCTACATTTATTCACTGTCCTTGTGGTCACTAAGACAGGAAATTAGAAGACGGGAGACATAGACTGAAATTAACCACCTCCCGTCCGGCCGTTGTATATAAACAGCCGGACGGTGGCAGTGCAGGGGCGGGTGGCCGTTTATAAACGGCCTCCCCGCCCCCTGCTTGTGTGCGCTTCCTGGGAGAGCGCGCAGCACCGCGATCTGGTGCCCGCTGTGTCCCCCGGACACAGTGGAACGCCGATCGGCGTACAACGTTGCAAAATACATTTTGGCCAATAATTTAGGACGAAATTTGATTTTTAACATTTTTTTACTGCACATGTTTAATAGCAAAATGTTCAAAATATTGTTTTTTTCTCAAGATTGTTGGTCTTTTTTTGCTTATAGCGCAAAAAATTTAAAATGCACAGGCGATCAAATACCACCGAAAGAAAGCTCAATTCATAGGAAAAAAAGGATGTCAATTTAATCTGGGTGCAGCGTTGCATGACCACGCAATTGTCAAAGTAACACAGTGCCATAGTGCAAAAAATGGTCTGGTCATGAAGGGGGGTAAATCCTCTGGAGGGCAAATGGTTAAAATACAGTTTTAGCACTAACATGGCATTTTGTAGAACAATCTTTCTCCGGCTCCATCATTGGTTTGTAGATATTTGCTGTCCACAGACCAGTCGAGATGAGTTATGAAACTGGAAGACTTGTTACACTCTCCGATTTTCTTGTATCGCTGCGCGACAGCATACACATCCACAAGACCATCATTGGATCCCACAGCAAGATAGGAACCATCAGGAGAAAACTTCATTTCATGAATGACTTCTTTCCTGTCCTTAATGTGAACCACTTCCGTCATGTCTCTGAAACAAAAACATATTAAACATGTTACCATGAGGGTACAGTATTATTGGTTTTTTAATTTTGATTATTTTTAAAAATTAATTTTAATTTTTAAATTAATTATTTATAATTTTTTCATTATTTCTGCCGTAACCTTTATTTTACATATATTTATTACACAGTGTCTCCGAAGCAGTTTACAAAGCATGTTGGGCTGTATTAGGAAAGGCCAACACTGCCTGGTCTTGTCTGCCTCTGCAGACTGGCCAATCCAAATGATATTGTCTCTGGAAAAATAGAGGAAAAATGGTAAATCAGTCACCAAGAAAACTATTATATTACCCTTTCAAAAAACATTTTTATTTTAAATTAAAAAAGACCCGCAGGCTGGATCCGGTCATTTCATGTGGCCCTGGAACCTCTCCTGCAGCTGCGTCAACCTAATCATCTTCACCCTCATCTTGAGCTCTGATGAAAAAGGGACCCCCCCTTCGAAACACGTCAGCGTCAACCTGAGAGTCTTCCCTTCCGATGGGATTCGCACGTGTCTTCTGATCGTATGATTGGTTTTTGCGCAAGGTTGGTGCGCTCCGTTTTTGTTCTCTACTACAGTTTGTATCGAGATTCCCCAGCGTTGTGTTGGAGCGGCACAACCTTTGATCGGTCTTGGACGAACTTCCATTTACTCTAGTATTATTGGTCCATCGGCCCTCTACTGATCTGGGTCCCTGAGCGCAGGAGGTGTTGCATCAGTGTCTACTCATCTTCACCCCCACCTTGTCCCAGCACTTGGCAGCAGAGAGGAGGACAGAACTCCTCCACTAGATTCTGCACTTCTACTTGCGGCCACAAAGAGGCTCATCTCTGGCCCCATGCCCTGTCCCAGCAGTCAAAAGCAGAGAGATGAACTGAACATCTCCTACAGATCCTGTGCCTCTCTGTGCAGCCAGAGCACTCCCTCATCTCCGCCTCCATTGGTCTCAGCATTCAGCAGACTCCAGCAGCTGACTCCAGCCTCCCTCTGCTCCTCCTCCAGACTCTGCACTTTCTGCTTCCCAGCTCTGGCCCCAGCTTCTTCCTGGCAGCAGCACAAGGTAAGGGGGGTTCACTGTTATGTAAGGGAGGATGGGGGACTCTCTTACTCTGATATAAGGGGGGTGGGGTGCTCTGAACATCTAGTCATACAAATACAACCAGCCTTTGAGGGCAACCATAATGCTGATGTGGCCCACGATGAAATTGAGACTGACACTCCTGGTCTAGAATATAAATAAGGAAATAATATGTTTTTATTGCAATGTGTTTATTTTATTTTTCATGGTTGATCAACAGTACATTAGAAAGATGTGTCAGTACATAGTGCCTGAGTACAGCAACTGATACAATATCTGCTATTAACAGTATCATGTCTTCTATAAAGGAGGAGCATACAAAATGAAGGCATATATGTGACTAGCAGATGAAGCCAGTAAAGTCTTAGGGAGATGTTCAAGAAGAGAGAAAGGAAGAAAAAAAAAGCAAGATTGGACAGAAAATAGTAGAAAAATGGTGATAGGGAGGAGAGGGGAGAAATGAACAAGAAAGGAGATGTAGAGAGGGGTAGGAAGGAAGCAACACGGGGGAGTGTCGTATATTATCAACAGCTGGATCAAAAGGAGGCCAGATTAGACAGCTAGTTTTGGATGGCGATATGCCATCCAGGGGTTCCAGATTTTGAAGAATTTGGTATAGGTATTAGCAAGGATGCTAGATAACTGTCCGTTCGCGAAAAAACTATCTATTCGGAATTCGACTTCAGAGATGTGGATGAATTGTTTTTTCCATACCCTGGCTATGATCATTTTAGAAGCTAATAGGATGAAATTAATTTGAACTTTCTCTTAGTAATACCAGAAGGTTTGAAATGCAATAGTGCTAGCAAGGGATTTCTAGAAAAAACTTTAGACCAGAAGCGGATTTTAGCACTGGGCAGGTCCACCATATAGGAAGGACGTTGCCAGTAGTCTGGCATCCTCTGAAACATAGGCCCAAATGGCTGGGGAACATATGAGCCAATCTGGAAGGTACCAGATACCATCTGGTAAGTAGCTTGAATGCTGACTCCAATGTAGTAACGTGAATAGAGCAGTATGTGATAGTGGACAACGCATCTTGCAAAACTTTTTCCTATTTTTGTGCCCTCAAATCCTTTTTCCAACTGGCCACATAAGTATGTGTGGACAGAGAGGGCAGTTTGTTGAGCTGGGAGTAGACCAAGGAAATGACCTGAGGTGCTAGGGGAGTGTAGCAACAAGTGTGTTCTAGGCTGTTAGTGAGTTCAGGGAGTCGTCATCCTTGAGAAGTGGTACTATCCAGTGCTGAAGCTGGCGGCACCAAAAGAATTCTGAAGAGGGCGCCTTGAAGAGGCTTTGGAGGGTCCCCTAGGGTAAGACAGACCCCTTCTCCACCAGAAAATGCTCCATATCAAGTTTATGTGAGGTCCACCAATCATAGGAAGTCTGGATTCAAGTCAAGCAGGACACAATGGGGGAGTAAGGGGAGCTGTGGAGAAAGCAACTGACCAAGGTATTTCACAGAATCCCATATTTTCAGGACGTGTTTTAATAAGGGGCTAAGGTTGAGTGGGCGGGAGGCAGGAGGGGTCCAGGGGAGCAATTTGATTTTGATGGGGAGCAATAAAAGCAGATTCCAAGTCTATCCACAAAGGGGCTTTGTGACCTACATATAAAGTTACTAATGACGTAATTTGGGCAGCTTGGTAATAATTCAGGAGGGTGGGGACGTCGAGCCTCCTTTGTCGCCTCTGGACGCACATGGTCTGTCTGGGGATTCTGGGTTTATGGTTGTGCTAAACAAAGGACAATATATGATTTTGAAAGGACTTGATAGAGAAAGAGAATGCTGGAGTCAGGAGGGTGTGGAATAGGTATAATATTTTTGGGAGAATGGTCATTTTGATGACACCCCATCCAAGAAAATAGATGACTGGACCAAGAGGAGAGTAAGGTTTTAAGACTGCGTATACTTGGAATATAATTGGTAGAATATAAATCTGTGTATTGAGGGGTCAGGCATATGCCCAGATATTCTAGGCTTTTATCAGCCCAGGGAAATTTGAAAGAGGATCTGAGAGAGCCAAGGGTAGCAGGAGGTAAAGTGACATTCAGCGCTATTGATTTGCACTAATTAAAACTGAGGTTAGAGGTGCGGGTGAAGGACTGCAACCTAGATAGCAGATTCAGTAGAGAAATAACAGGCTGGGGTAAAGTTAGTAGGAAGTCATCTACAAGCAAGCTGGCCCTGTAAGTGCAATAACCAAAAGATACCCCATGGACATTGGGATTGAGTCTATAAATGTGGGCTAAAGGTTCAATGGCCAGGATAAACAAGATCAGGGATAAGTGGAATCCCTGCCAGGTACCCCTCCCGATAGGGAAAGGAGTGGAATAAAAGTTCAGATATTTTGAAATAATATATTTTAAATAAACACTATACATTAGATTGCAGTACTTCCATAACCAGCATCTGATTGTATAAAGCCTGTGTCCAAGGCAAAAGCAGGTAAATATAAAAATACAAAAACTGAATGTACTGCACTATATTTTTTAACAACTGATGCGTCAGGAAATCTGCATCTCTCTATCAATAAAAATATATAACAGTTTAGCATATTTATTTTACAGAACTCAGTACTTAGTTAGTCCTACCTGACCCTGAGAACAGTGAATGAGCCATCTTTCATTCCCAGCGCTAGCTGGGATCCATCTGGACTAAAGGCTACACTTCGTACTGCTTCCTCCATGTTACAGCGGGCGATCAGTGCATGGTCTGCGAGACTCCAGAGTCTAAGGCAAGAACAAAGGGTCATGAGATAGTTTTGCTTGATGGAAAAATGAAACTGCGCAACACCCCTTCCATGACAATAAACATGAGATTTCTATCACTTTAATTATAAAATTTGTTAAAAATTAGCTGCTTGTGTTATAGTCCAAGGGAAAACACAATGGTTTTTGTAATCATTTAGAAGGTTTGTATGGAATATTTAGTGACTGTAAACCCCAGACGTAAAATATGAACAAAGCATATCCCTCTATAGTGTGTGCTTGTCTGAATTTAGAGCACTGAGTGTCATTTCTGTCTGCTGCCTCCTTCCTCTGTTATCAGCATGAGACACGTTTTCCTGACACCAAGAGAAAAATAGTGACAGTGGAGGGACCTCTAGCAGATTGCCAGCCTCAGCTCTGTAACTGCGTGCTGTGTGGAGGGGTGGGTGTGTGTCTTTTTCCTCCAATCAGCTCTCAGAGTTCTCCTCACTTAGCTCTACAGAATGTAATTTCAGCTCTCCACCCCCTTTTTTCTGAACTCTCAGACAAGGTTTATAAATTCAGCACTTTGAACGCATGTAGAGAATAGAGGGCTGCAAATAGACAGATGCAACATATGTAGAAGGATTGGCTTCATCTATGTGTATCACCTGAGGCCAGTCAATTCACTAGTTATATGTAAGGGTTTACAACCACTTTCATTATTTTTTTTTAAATAAACATTAAATACCCGGTGTATCCATGATATTCAGTTTGCAAAGCATGCTGGGCTTTCCAACAAGGAGCATCCTGTATTACTAAGATCATATTTACTGGTAAACAGGAGGGGTTTGTGCCTTCACTAAGTTGCACTGCAACTGTGTAATCTGAAATCCTTGCTTGTCAGGTCTGTTCACAATACAGCTGTAGATAGAGCTTTGAAAAGTGTCTGCTTTTGTCTGGAGCTGGCCATCTGCTGGCTAAAAGTGGTAAATATGAAATAATAATATATACAGTAATATTTCCTATTTAACTTTTTAAAGGTTTGCAAAATTAGTTTTACATTTTTATTTTTTTTTGTACTAAACATAATGGATAAATAAAGACAGTATATAAAAACATGATATGCTCCCTTCAACACACCTGTCCCACTCGTGATGTTACTTTTGAACTGGAAATTAAAGAGTGATATGTTGTTGCTATGGGTATCTGTTCATGTTTGCTGTAAAAAAGGTTGTGCTTTGAGCTGCGTGGAGGGGGTGTGTGTCTCTTTCCTCCAATCAGCTCTCAGAACTCTCCTCACTGAGCTCTGCAAAGTGTAACTTAAGCTCTCCACCCCCCTTTTTTCTAAACTTCCAGACATGCTTTAGAATTCAGCACTTTGAACAGATGTAAAGAAGACTGCAGATAGACAGGTACAATGTATGTAGGGGGATTTGTTCACCTCTGTGTATCACCTGAGGCCAGTCACTTCACTGGGTATATGTGAGGGTTTACATTCACTTTATATTTCATAAACAAGTTAAATGATTTTTTTTTAAATCTTCATATGCTTGAAATTTTGATCTTTGTAAAATTATAACAGAAAAACATCACTAGAAACTACATGAATAGAAACAACATAATACAGTAGACGATGGGCTAAAATTAAGTGCCCAAAAATGGCAAAAATTACATAAGGACCATCATGGTTTTGGGTCAATTTAATTTATTTATTTATTTTATACATTCTTTTAAACTGTTCTATTATGTGTTTTTCACTTACTGTATGCAATCTTTGTGTTGCTAAAAAAAAAAAAAAGCAATATATGACAAAGAGTTCCCAGAGCACTATAGTTTAGCTTAACAGACAGCGCCAAGGCTCACTTTGCTTTGCAGCTACTTTTGTCTGATAGAATCAACAGGCTTCTTCCATCACAGCTAAAAAGTAAACATACTAATGATTTGAAATGAATTTTGTTTGCTGGCTGGTTAGAAAAATATATTCAATCAAAGGAGACCTTGCACCTGAAAAGCTAGTTGTGTCCTTTAAGGGCCGGTTCACACTATAGAAACGAAGTCCAGATGCATTCCAGATGCGTTTCCGCATGCATGTTTTTGAAGCGTTCTGGTGCATTTTTTATGCATTCCAGTTAAGTTTTTCCCCTCTCTTTTTCTTTAATTTAAATAGGGACATGTGCATTCCAGTGTATTTTTGATGCGGTTTACCACGTTCTAGCACAGTTTTGTGCAGAAAAAAACGCAGCATGTTCTACTTTTTTTTCTGCAACCGAATTGTACTGGAACTGCAAGAACAGATGTGAACTATGACATAGATAACCATATAACCTACTTGCTGTGCATTTTGGATGCAGAAAAAATACAATTGAAATCCATGTAGTGTGAACTGGCCCTAATACATGCCTGTCAAAAGCTGATAAATGGCAATCATCTGTATTAGCTCTGCATTTGTTCAACAGGATCCCTTTAGGTGCTACGTATCATTTTACTGTGTCTGCCCGGTTCCCTAGTACTTCAGTCCCTTCCCCATCCTGTGTCAGGACCCAGGTCTGAACCTATGACCTCTGCTGTGTCTGGTAATGTCTCTTCTTGCGCAGCCACCTGAGATGCTGTAAAGCTCCCTACCTGATCTTCTAAAACAGGGGTGGGCAAACTTTTTGACTTGAGGGCCGCAATGGGTTCATATATTGGACCCGGGGGCCGGACCAAGAGTAGATGAATGATGTGTATGTGTCATCCATAGTAAGTATAGTAATATTCCCCCATAGTAAGCATAGTAATTCATCCCCCATAGTAATTAATCCCCCATATAGTAATTCATCCCCCATATAGTAATTCATCCCCCATAGTAATTCATCCCCCATATAGTAATTCATCCCCCATAGTAATTCATCCCCCATAGTAATTCATCCCCCATATAGTAATTCATCCCCCATAGTAATTCATCCCCCATATAGTAATTCATCCCCCATAGTAATTCATCCCCCATATAGTAATTCATCCCCCATAGTAATTCATCCCCCATAGTAATTCATCCCCCATATAGTAATGCATCCCCCATAGTAATTCATCCCCCATAGTAATTCATCCCCCATATAGTAATTCATCCCCCATAGTAATTCATCCCCCATATAGTAATTCATCCCCCATAGTAATTCATCCCCCATATAGTAATTCATCCCCCATAGTAATTCATCCCCCATATAGTAATTCATCCCCCATAGTAATTCATCCCCCATATAGTAATTCATCCCCCATAGTAATTCATCCCCCATATAGTAATTCATCCCCCATAGTAATTCATCCCCCATAGTAATTCATCCCCCATATAGTAATGCATCCCCCATAGTAATTCATCCCCCATAGTAATTCATCCCCCATATAGTAATTCATCCCCCATATAGTAATTCATCCCCCATAGTAATTCATCCCCCATAGTAATTCATCCCCCATATAGTAATTCATCCCCCATATAGTAATTCATCCCCCATAGTAATTCATCCCCCCTATAGTAATTCATTCCCCATATAGTAATTCATCCCCCATAGTAATTCATCCCCCATATAGTAATTCATCCCCCATAGTAATTCATCCCCCATATAGTAATTCATCCCCCATATAGTAATTCATCCCCCATAGTAATTCATCCCCCATATAGTAATTCATCCCCCATAGTAGTTCATCCCCCATATAGTAATTCATCCCCCATAGTAATTCATCCCCCATATAGTAATTCATCCTCCCTATTAATTCATCCCCCATATTAAGTCCCCAAGTCCCCCCTGTGTCAATTCACTTACCTTTGCTCCGCGCGTTCCTCTCGCCGTCTTCCCGTGCCGTTCCGGTGTAGCATGAAAATCTGTCTCCTATGAGGATCTGCCCCCCTCGACGTATCTGTGCATGTGCCAGTTTCAGGCATTAGCAGCCGATCGGCGATCTCCGGCACATGCGCAGATACGTCGAGGGGGACAGATCCTCATAGGAGACAGATTTTCATGCTACACCGGTCTTCAGGGCAGACTGTGAGAGGAGCCTAGCGGGAGCCTAGCTCCGCGGGCCAGATTAAAAGGTCCGCCGGGCCGTAGTTTGCCCATTGCTGTTCTAAAACAAACTTACCCTATGATTTGTTTGTCTTGAACCTTGAACCCCATGCTCCTCCCATGAACTTCCAATTAAAGCCATGCCTTTGCGCTTCCTGTTTGCCAGATTATTGCCGATATCTTGCTCTTTTCTCTCCTGCCTCTGTCAGTATCTTCGCTACCACTCGTTACTGACCTTAGGCTTGTTCCTAGACTACGCTTATGCTTGATCCCAACCTGCAACCGCTCGTTACCAACCTTTGGCTTGTTTACTGACAACGCTTCTGTGTGATCCCTACCTGCTATATCTGCTACTGGACCCCAGCTTACTCACCTCATGGTGGGGCAATCCTGAGAACTGCAACCAGCTACTAACATTAAGCAAAACCCATCTCCACCATCAGGAGCTCTGGTGAATACGGGTTAGCGCTTAGACTCTGTGCCTCAGGTGAGCCCACATCACCCACCAGGGTGACCGGCCAGTGTACTCTTCCGGTTGGCCTCTCTACTGCTATAGTTACTGGTCTCCGAGCCTCACCCCTGCCTCGTGACATCCTGTAATGTTAAGCTCTGTACATGGGCAACCTACAGCCAGGCCCAATTGCTGCCACTATTGCAAAGCCAAGTACAAATCTCCACTTTCATAAATCTGGTTTCTGCACAGGATCCTCATTGGCTGCAGTATTGTATTGAGGAAGCAAGTTGGCACTCTAAAAGTAAAAAAAAAAAAAATGCCACGGAAGGATGCTGATGCAGGGTTGCTCTCCATCAACATGTGTCCTTTGACTCAATTAATATTTAAAGACTTTTCCACATACCTTACAGAGCGATCATCGCTACCAGTAACGGCTAAGGGTTTCTTGGGGTGTACGGCAAGGGCCCAAAGCTCCCCCTCACAGTGACCCTGCATGATCAGCATGGGCTTGTCCCGTTCTCTCACCATCACTTCAAAGATTTCACTATCCTGAGTACCAGCTAGAATTCTATCCCCTTTCCAGCACACGCTCCTGATGGACAAGCCTGGGGAAGAGCAAAAAATAGGACAGGAAGACCAGTTAACAAATGGCATACTGCTAAGTACCAATTCTTCACTGACATGGACAAGGACAAGTACAAGTAGGCTAGTCATGCAGGCAGCTGCAAAACAGCCACGATAAAGGGTAATTTGTGCTAATATTAATGATGTAATCAATAATACTACAAAAAAAACCTTTACGGTCACAGAAGTTTAATGACTTAATTTATTATTTTCAAGAACTATTTAGAATAGTCATATCTGATGTTCCCTCGCCTATCTGTAGGAACTTCCATTTGCCCTCATCAGTAGGACTGCATTTTGACCATTCCACAACATACTGGAAAAGGGTCAGGGCTACATGGGAAGAATGAGGTCCATCTCAGGTCTCCCCAAAATCAAGATAGGTAGAAATGGATTGCAGGATAGCTTCCAGGGCATTGAAAAATTGAACCTTACCTTGCCTAAAGTGTTATGAAAGCAGCAACAAAACTAAGGTGCAGGCACCTTTGATTTCTTCTCTATACAAGGCACTTTTGAGTAATTTTTTGGCCCATAAAGTTCTCCCAGGACAAAGGGGGTGGGAGAATGGGAACTATCCGATGACTGATGGAACAAAAAATGGATCTCAGCGATCCCCAGAGGATCTCCTCCATATGCTGTGGCGATGCCCCAAGCGGGTTCGCTATTGCAGTATGATTGTAGATACGATCAATAGAGCTTTTCAAATTCACCTTGAATTGCTCCCAATGCTATGATTACTTGGGGATATTGATGAGGAGCGCTTTCCTTCTGAGACTAGTATACCTATCATATGCTTGTGGTTTATTGCCCGCAAAACGATAGCTATGAAGTGGCTATTCCCCGGTCCTCCAACATTTAAGAACTGGTGAATTCAAGTGAATAAAACCCTACTAACTGAAAAACAGATAAACTATATTGCCAAAAGTATTGGGGTGCCTGCCTTTACAAGCACAAGAACTTTAATGGCATCCCAGTCTTAGTCCGTAGGGTTCAGTGTTGGGTTGGCCCGCCCTTTGCAGCTATAACAGCTTCAACTCTTCTGGGAAGGCCGTCCACAAGGGTTAGGAGGGTGTCTATGGGAAGGTTTGACCATTCTTTCAGAAGCAGCACATTTGTGAGGTCAGGAACTGATGTCAGACGAGAAGGCCTGGCTCTCGGTCTCTGCTCTAATTCATCCCAAAGGTGTTCTATCGGGTTGAGGTCAGGATCTGTGCAGGCCAGTCAAGTTCCTCCACCCCAAACTCACTCTTCCATATCTTTATGGACCTTGTTTTGTGTACTGGTGCGCAGTCATGTTTGAACTGGAAGGGGCCATCCCCAAGCTGTTCCCACAAAGTTGGGAGCAAGATAATTGTTCAGAATGTCTTGGTATGCTGACGCCTTAAGAGTTCCCTTCACTGGAACTAAGGGGATAAATTCAACTTCTGAAAAACAATCCCACACCCTAATCCCCCCTCCACCATACTTTACACTTGGCACAATGCAGTCAGGCAAGTACTGTTCTCCTGGCAACCGCCAAACCCAGTTACCTCCATCAGATTTCCAGACAAAGAAGCGTGATTCGTCACTCCAGAGAACACGTCCCCACTGCTCTAGAGTCCTTTACACCACCTGCATCTGACGCTTTGTATTGCACTTGCTGATATAAGGCTTGGATGTAGCTGATATAAGGCTTGGATGCAGCTACTCGGCCATGGAAACCCATTCCATGAAGCTCTCTACACACTGTTGTTGTGCCAATCTGAAGGCCACATGAAGTTTGGAGGTCTTTAGCTATTGACTCTGCAGACAGTTAGCAACTTTTGTGCACTGTGCGCTTCAGCATGTGCTGACCCCGCTCTGTCATTTTACGTGTCCTACCACTTTGTGGCTGAATTGCTGTTGTTCCCAGTTGCTTCCACTTTGTTATAATCCCACTAACAGTTGAGCGTGGAATATTTAGTAGCCAGGAAATGTCACGGATGGACTTATTGCACAGGTGACAACCTATCACGGGACCACGCTTGGAGTCACTGAGCTCCTGAGAGCGACCCATTCTTTCACAAATGTTTGTAGAAGCAGTCTCCATGCCTAGGTGCTTGATTTGATACACCTGTGACCATGGAGGTGATTGGAACACCTGAATCCAATGATTTGGAGGGGTGTCCCAAAACCTTTGGCAATATAGTGTATATCAATACAGGGGCACTCCAAAAAATGTTTCCAAATTATGGGAACCATGGCTGAAGGTACCAGGACTGGCCCCTCTATCCCTCCCTTTACTGTTCTTCTCTACTTAGCCTGCACTGTAGCTCTATTTTTCTTTTTCTACTTAGCCTGTGCTGTAGCTTTGTTTCTACTTATATTGAGCTGTAGTTTTATTTTTCTCTTCCACTTACCCTGTGCTGTAGCTTTACCTTTCTTTTCTACTTGGCCTGTGCAGTAGATTTCCTTTATTTCCACTCAGCCTGTACTGTAGCTTCACTGTTCTTTTCTACCTAACCTGTGCTGTAGCTTTACTTTCATTTTCTACTTTACTTCAACCACAGGCAATTCTTCCCTCTAAAATACACTCACCGGCCACTTTATTAGATACACCTGTTCAATTGCTTGGTAACACAAATTGCTAATCAGCCAGTGACATGGCAGAAACTCAATGCATTTAGGCATCTAGACGTGGTGAAGACGACTTGCTGAAGTTCAAACCGAGTATCAGAATGGGGAAGAAAGGCAATTTAAGTGCCTTTCAATGTGGCATGGTTGTTGGTGCCAGACAGGCTGGTTTGAGTATTTAAAAAACAGCTAATCTACTGGGATTTTCAAGCACAGCCATCTCTAGGGTTTACAGAGAATGGTGAAAAATGAAAAAATATTCAGCGAGTGGCAGTTGTGTGAATGAAAATGCCTTGTTGATGTGTCAGAGGAGAATGGGCACACTGATTCGAGATGATAGCAGGACAACAGTAACTCATATAACCACTCGTTACAACCAAGGTATGCAGAATAGCATCGCTGAATGCACAACATATCGAACCTTGAAGCAGATGGGCTACAGAAGCAGAAGACCACACCGGGTGACACTCCTGTCAGCTAAGAAGAGGAAACAGAAGCTACAATTCGCACAGGCTCACCAAAATTGGACAACAGAATATTGGAAAAACATTGCCTGGTCTGATGAGTCTCGATTTCAGCTACGACACTCAGATGGTAGGATCAGAATTTGGCATAAACAACATGAAAGTATGGATCTATCCTGCCTTGTATCAATGGTTCAGGCTGGTGGTGTCATGGTGTGGGGATATTTTCTTGGCACACTTTGGGCCCCTTAGTACCAATTAAGCATCGTTTAATCACCACGGCCTACTTGAGTATTGTTGCTGACCATGTCCATCCCTTTATGACTTTAGTGTACGCATCTTCTGATGGCTACTTCCAGCTGGATAATTCCCCATGTCACAAAGCTCATCTCAAACTGGTTTCTTGAACATGACAATGAGTTCACTGTACTCCAATGGTCTCCACAGTCTCCAGATCTCAATCCAATAGAGCACCTTTGGGATGTGGTTGAACGGGAGATTTCGCATTATGGGTGTGCAGCCAACAAATCTGCAGCAACTGCGTGATGTTGTCATGGCAATATGGACCAGAATCTCTAAAGGAATGCTTCCAACACCTTGTTGATTCTATGCCACAAAGAATTAAGGTAGTTCTGAAGGCAAAAGGGGGTCCAACCCGATACTAGCAAGGTGCATCTAATAAAGTGGCCAGTGAGTGTATATTGACCATTTTGTGGGTTCAGAATATATCACACTATAATATTTCTTTACAATTGTGCTTCAAACTTAAGCTGGATTTTTATACTGGAATCCCAAGCTGTAACCTTTCTTTTCTACTAAGCCTGAGCTGTACCTTTACTTTTCTTTTATACTTTTTCTCAATCAAAGGCAATTCTTCCTCTTAAGATATATTGAACATTTTGTAAGTGTGTTCAGAATATATCACAGTATAAAAATTCTGTACAATTGTGCTTCAATCCTAAACTGGATTTTTATACTGGAATCCAATTTATTTCTATTATAGTCACACAGCTAGTGGGGAGTTCATGTGACTCTTGCTCTGGAAATTTCATTTCGACAAAAGAATATTGAATTTTCCTCACTGACTCGTTGCTTTACAGGTGCGGCAGTGAATATACATTATGAATAATAGAAAGCGTGTATTTTGCAGTATTTTTTAAGCAAAAGATATTCTGTCAAAAGATGACATCTGTAAGAAAAACATGAAAAATAGAACCTGTAACAAAGCTGCGTTTCTTTGCCTCAAGCATGACCACACAAGTACGCTTTAATGTTTTAACGATAGAAGGCGTTTAAATAGATGCTTAACCGTCAGATACACAATTTGGTCGGTTATTTTTTACCAGCCACCTGCTCTACCACTTAACAGATGGTAACATGCAAGATAATTGCAAGACTGGGCTTGCAAATTACAAACAGTAGGAGAGATTTGTTCTTCATTATAAAGAATGTTTTTTGGCGTTAACCCTTTCAAAGCCACAACTGAACTCATAGCAACATCTACTGCGCAGTATTTAATTTTTTTTTTATTTAAACTTTTACAATACAAAAGGGACAACTCAATTACAAAAATGTTTCACATATACATATTCTGTTTACCCCAAAATTAACCCCACCCCCACCCACCCTTCCCCCCGATCCATTTTCCCCATCCACATCCTCCATCTTGATCTGTTTCTTCTCTCATAATTATCTATATATGACAGCTCTCTCTCTCTCAGATTCTCTATTAAGGCTCTCTCCTGACTTTAACTTCTAACTTCCCCCTCAGTTCCGGTGCACCTGCCTATTCAAGCAATTATCTTTTCTGCCAATCATCTGACAGCAACCCAGTGCATTGCATTATGGAGATGCAGGACAAAAGCTTCAGTTAATGGTCACATCAAACATCAGAATAGGGAAAAAATGTGAACTCAGCAATTTGACTATGGCACAATTGTTGGTTCCAGACAAGATGGATTAAGTATTTCTGTAAGAGCTCGTTCACATGGGAATTCTTAAAGTGGAATCGAATGCTAGAAATAACTAATTAACTGTTCCCACCCCCCATTCTAATACCTATACTAACTATCCTGTGGAAGAAGAATGATTATACTTACCTATTCTCAGGGCGCTCCAGTCTGGTGTTGTGATTGGCTTCCGGCAGCCAGCTTCAGGGGAGAGGAGGGACAGTCAACAATGGATGCCCCATAGTAAGCCCATGGGTGACTTTACTGCCCAGGCATTCCATCTGTTGCTTTCTCCACTTCTCTGCTCAGGAGATCATGTGACTGGACTAGAGCGCCCTGAGAATAGGTAAATATAAGCACCTACCTTCTACAGGGTAGTTAGTAAAAGTGTTAGAAGTGGTGGGAGGAGTTTTAAAGTAGAACTTCACCTAAAAGGGGAGGTTCTGCTTGTCTGCCACCCACCGTCCACCAATTGTTAATAAATGTATTCTTTTTGGGAAGTGGGTATTTGGCTTTGACAGTACCCGCTCCCTCTTCAGCTCAGGTCACCTAGGCAATCCAAGCAGAAGTTCCTACATTTAAAATGCTTGTTTTTTTTTCATTTACTTTTTTAAATTATTATTTATTTTTATTTTAGTTTTTGGGGTTTTTTTTTTTTATATAAAATAACAAACATGTTATCCTTTCCTGCCCTGTGCAGTGTAGTTTTGCACCCAGCTGCCCTGATACACTTCTTTTCGAGCCCCCTGCCAGTGCTCCTGGCTCCTCCTCCTCGAGCACTACCCCCAGAGAAACCTGCTTGCCCTGGTGGCACCGCTGTGTGTTCATTCCTGCGCAGCTGCTCTATGCTTCCATTGGACATATAGAGCTGCAGCTCAGTCCCGCACAGCAGCAGGAGCCAATGGACATTTAGAGGCAGAAATATAACCCCACAGCCAGTGCATTCAGGTGCAGCAGCGTTTTGGCAGAAGAGATGGCTGATGCGCCTAAATGCAGGTAAACATACTTATTATTATTATACAGTATTTATATAGCACCAATAGTTTGCTCAGCGCTGTACATTATAATGGGAGACAGTACACAAGACAGTACAGTAACAATACAAATACACGAGGGGTTTGAGGGCCCTGCTCCTTGGAGCTTACAATCTAGGAGGGAGGGGAGAGTGGTACAGGAGGAAATAGCTATGGGGGATGGAGTGGTGGGAAGAGCAGAGGAGATCAACAATTAGGTGAGGGCGGGGTAGGCTTCTCTGAAAAGATGGGTTTTCAGGGTGCGCCTTAAGCAGTAGCTGCATCATGCGCATTTCAATGGTCAGAATAAATTAATTTTCAATAAATAAATGTATTTATTTCAATAAATTTCAAGTGCTTGAAGCGCTTCAGCGCGCCTAAACACGTTTGAAAAAAACACGGCATTAGGCACAATTTTGGTGCTGTTTTTCTCTTGCCGGGAGAAAGGTGTTTAGAAGAGCTGGGGCAAACACCTAGTGTGAATGAGGTCTTAGAAATATTATAGCTGCATTTTATTGTTGTGAATTAGTCTCTTACATAACAGAAAAAAGTCTACCTTTATAACCCTGCTCACTGTCACGGAGATCAATTTTTGTAATTGGCTTGAAGTCATTATCCCACAGACGGATACATCCATCTCTTCCTCCAGTAGAAAATCCTTCTTCACAGGCGTACATACTAAATATACCAGCCTTAGAGAAAAGAGACAGATCCAAATGGAGTGAAGAGCAATTAATGGCAATTACATGGAAGGAAAAGTAAACACAGTGATACTGAAATCATATGATCTAAATACGTGATAAGAAATTTCCAATGTGTATTGTTATGAGCGCGAAACATACTACAGAGTTCCAGTGAATTTTTTAAAATTGAAAGTGAACATAAAGTCAATTTTGTTTTTATAATAAATCAATTTTTTTTTAAATTTAAACAACAAACACGACATATTTACCTGCTCTGTTCAAGTGCTTGTTTAAAAAAATGTCTATAGTTACCTGCTTTGTGCAATAGGATTGTACATTGCGGCCTCGAACCCCTTCTTCTTGGGTCCCCCACTGGTGCTCCTGGCACCTTCTCTCTGGCTAGAGCCCCCAATAGGAAGCCGATTCCCATGTGGGCGCTCCTGCGGGCTTGCTCCTGAGCAGATTCAGCCCCCTGATCCCTTGTCACTGGCTTAGATTGGCAGCAGTGGGAGACAATGACTCCCGCTGCCTCAGAAAAGCCTGTGAGACCTGGAAATGAGGGCAGAAAAGAGCTGCAGACAGGTACAGTACTGGATCGAATGAGCACTCAGGTAAGTATAAGGGAGGGGGTGATAAGTAAATACCGATGCCTTAACTTTTTTACCTTAATGCAAGGAATGCATTAAGGTAAAAAATGTTTAGTTTTTAGAACCATTTTAAATGGTTTGATACAAAGCAGACACTGACTTCCTCTTCTTGGGTCCCCTGCCGGTGCTCCTGGCTCCTCCTCTTCTTCTCGATGGTACCTGTTTCCTTTGAGGTACCAGCTGAATTCTTTCTCCCAAGCTGTGCTGCCTGCATCTATAGACAAAAACATCACAACTCAGCTCCACCCACTAGTCACAGGATTTGACTGACAGCAGCGGGAGCCAATGGCTCCCACTGGCTCAGCAAAGCCTGTGAGAGTGGAGAGAACCATTACAGATAGGCACAGCGCTAGATCGAGTGAGGAAACAGGTGTATATATAAGGGGGGTGAGGGGTCAATACTGTTACCTAAAATTTTTTACCTTTTAGATGTTTGACAGGAGGAGGTATCATGGCTGACTGCAAGGTTCTTTGAACAATATTAAAGTGAGCCTGTCCCAAGTCTGTCCTCATTAACCTACAACACAAGAAGCCTGACCTCTACCTTTAACCTTTTGCTAAGACAGACAGCAGGGATGTTGAATTTATATCGCCCAATGCCCGGGACATGTACTTCTGGGACCGGGCAGGTAGTTTTTTTTAACCTTTAGCTGTTACCCGATTGCTTTCACACAGGCCCTTTCACTACATAGTTGAAGGTAAATCTAAAGGAAATTTGGCAGAAATGGACAGAAAATGGTAAGAAAATTATATAGTGTATGTCCAGCCTAAGTCTTTACAGGTCACTGTTCAGTGATTTTTTTTTAAATATACATACTGTATATGTAAAAGAGGTTAGCTTAAAGCTCATAATGGGGTTGATCTACTAAAGGTAACTGGACTTTGCACTTTGCAGGTGCAGTTGCATTTGTTTTTCTTAGTGAATCTAAATGCGGTAGAGCTTCACTATGTAAAGAATACCCAATCAGGTGCAAGGGAAATAAAAAAAACCAACATTTTACCTAGAAATCAGCAGAGTGTTACCACATTCACCACGCTCTGAGGAAAACGACTGCAACTGCACTTGCAAAGTGCACAATCTATTTGCCTTTAGTAAATCAACCCCGCTGCTATCAGTGTATGATAATGCTTTATGTTCTTAGTGAGGGGAGGTGAAACATCCCTATTGTTAGTACAAGACCCGGAACTCTCGGTGAGGGCCCAGTGGCTGTGCTGGGAATGTGCTGCCATCACAAAGACAGGCACACATATTTGCGGCCTCACGGATAAAGACCCACTTCGGTGAGGCCGCGCATATATGCGTACTGTCGGTGCGAAGGGGTTAAACAGTTCTGAACATCCGGGGGGCGTTAAGGATTGGCGATCATGTGACCATTGTTATTGGAAAAAGAGAAGACACAGCGGTGCCACTCTAAGTGTAGATGTTAGATAAAATCAACAATTTAATAAGTAAAGAACTCACAAGTGTAGGTAAGTAAAGGGCACGTCATATTGGGCCTGAGGAAGGAGCCATGCATGTTCCAAACGCGCGCCGCACAGTCATCCGGTTTCCAGGTGACGTCATCAGCTGCTAGCCGCCCTGCACCTCTCTGATATCCCTGGAGCGCTGGACACCACCAGAGCAGCCGGGATGACAAAGAGGACCACACAGGACCCAGTCGCAGCACTGCCTGGACTCACTGCACTATGACATGCCCATTACTTACCTACACATGTGAGTTCTTTACTTAATAAATTGTGAATTTTATCTAACATCTACACTTAGAGTGGCGTCGGCTGCTGTGTCTTCCCTTTTGACATGCCCATTACTTACCTACACATGTGAGTTCTTTACTTAATAAATTGTGAATTTTATCTAACATACTACACTTAGAGTGGCGTCGCTGTGTCTTCCCTTTTCCCGTTTGTGCACTAGAGTTGCTTCCTGTTCTGACAGCAGGCTGCCTTCTACCCCATTTCCATGAAGGAGATACCTTCCTGTCCTGGACTTATACCTAATAGGACATTGCCAGATTATTTATGTCCGCCTGTTTTACCACATATGTACGGACTTTACTATTCACCTGTTTATATATACAGTGTTAGAATATATACCTGGGACTGTATTTTAGCACTCCCCATCCTTCTCCCTTTATGCCCACTGTTATTGGAAGTCCGTCCTCCCAGCTACCGATCTTTAGTCTGGACTGAGAGCTGTCTTTGACAGCTCGGTCTTGGTGCTGAGAGTGCACAGTGAGCACTCTCTCAGCATAGAAACATCAGATGCCCAATGACACATATGTGTGCAATGTGGGATTTAAATTCCATTCTTTTGCTGACGCACATATATGTTAGGCAGTCGTAAAGGGGTTAAAAAAGCAGTTTCTATGTATAGATAGTAATTATAGATGTATGTGTGAGAAGCCACATTTTCTGATTAGATCCTGAGACTACGATTTCTGCATTGCAGTGTTATCCAGCAATCAGGGGCGGACTAACCATTTGGAAACTAGGGCACTGCCCAAGGGCCCGGGGTCAGTAGGGGGCCCCATGAGATGCCCCTGGTACCTTTTTCATAGATTTTTTTGAGTTTGGGCAAGGACACAGGGGCCCCATGATCCTCTATTGAGGGCCCGGGGTCAGTAGGGGGCCCCATGAGATGCCCCTGATACCTTTTTCATAGGCTTTTTTGAGTTTGGCCAAGGACACAGGGGCCCCATGATCCCCTATTGCCCAGGGGCCCCATGAGTTGTCAGTCCACCCCTGCCAGCAATGTTTCACTGCTCTGTCCTAAAGTCTGAGTCTGCCAACTCAATGAACGCAATGGGGTTGATCTACTAAAGCTGAAGAGTGTGAAACCTGCCGCAGCTCTGCATTGAAACCAATCAGCTTCCGGGTTTTTTTGCTAAAACTTAACTGAACAAGCTGAAGTAAGAAGTTGATTGGCTACCATGCAGAGCTGCACCAGATTTTGTACTCCCCAGTTTTAGTAAGGCTCCATTCACACTAGGTTTTTACAAATCGCAGGTGGAATTCTGCTCGCAATTTGAAAACGCGTGGCCAAAGTGTGAAAACGTGTGAAAAACATTTACATGGCACCTGAAAATGCAGGAGGTTTTTGACGCAATCGCGGCCAGTTTTTCCACATGGCAAAACGCGCCACGATTGCACACACAAAATCGCGGGACACGCAACGTCTAAAAAAGGTTCTGGATTCAAATGAAAGGTATCTGAAAACAAGACCGCGCATTTTCACACTTTGACAGCAGGTTTTCAAATCTCAGGCAGAATCGCAGCGATTCCATCCACCATTTGAAAAAGCCTAGTGTGAATGGAGCCTAATCAACCCCAATGCTTATGTCTGTATGTACCAGAAAGGGCGCATTACATTAAAGTGTTACTAAACCTACAACAGTAAAATCAGTCTGTATATGCAGTAAAGCATGATTGTTATACTCCCTGTGGAACCCAAGGGGTTAATTTTCTGCACTGTGTTCTGTGAATGAGTGCCTACAAGTCCCGACAGCTTAGTGACTGTGGGTTTGTAGTTTTCAATGAATGGCACAGCGCCGTGGTGGTTCATTGAAGCTTTCCTGTCAGTATATTTGCTTGGCCGTACATCCCGTACAGCAAGAAGATATTCTGACAGGTCTGCAGGAGACCTGCATGGCATCAGCAATCTACTGATTGCTGGTGCAATGCTTTCCAGGCTCCTTTGGACAAAAATAATAAATGCAAATTTTTTTTTTACCCAAAAAAATGTGCATTTATTATTTGTGACCAAAAAGTGAACTTATCCTTTTTATTCCAAAATGGCTCTATAATATTAGGTTATATTCGCACTATGCAGCAGAGGTTCTGGATGTACATTTGGTCAAAGGGGCATAAAGTGATCATCCGTATGGGTGACTGACAGCTTTTTGAAGGCCAAGGGTGGACAAATATTAGACTCCCTGACCGATAGAGCTTCTTTTTACGTCACTATTCATAAGCTCTGAATCAGTAGAGTATTTCGGGAACTGTCACAGGTTCTGTTACTATGACTTTAACACATCATATTGCGTTTTCCATAAAATAAAATGGAAATTATTATTATTATTATTATACAGTATTTATAAAGCATAGTTCGCTCAGCGCTGTACATTTTGACAGAACATTACCAATACAATGCAAAACATGAGGGGAAATCGATTACAATCTAGAAAATTACAAAAAAAAAAAAGTCTTACTAGATACTTGTATGGATACTTACACTGTGAGCTCCTTGAATGGTGCGGACTAAGTTGAGGCCCTTCCATACATATATGTCTCCGTTTAAAGCACCTGAGTAAGTGATATCATCTCTTGCACATGCTAAGCACAAGATCGTCTGTAAGTCCCCAGTTTTCCCAAAAATCCCCCTTTTGGCTGTTAGTGCATTTCCACATAGCGTCCAGAACTGCAAGAGAGATTGCAAAGGTCTTATTTAAATAAACGCAAAATTAAATGACCTTCAGAGATATATGAGCCTGTAGGTGATACATATAGTGTACACAGTGCCTTGAAAAAGTATTCATACTCCTTGAAATTTTCCACATTTTGTCACGTTACAACCAAAATGTAAATGTATTTTACTGGGATTTTGTGATAGACCAACACAAAGTGGCACATAATTGTGAAGTGGAAAGAAAATAATAAATGTTTTTCAAATTGTTTTACAAATAAATATGTGAAAAGTGTGGCGGCATTTGTATTCAGCCCCCCGGAGTCAATACTTTGTAGAATCACCTTTTGCTGCAATTACAGCTGCAAGTCTTTTTGGGGATGTCTCTACCAGCTTTGCACATCTAGAGAGGGACATTTCTGCCCATTCTTCAAAATAGCTCAAGCTCTGTTATTGGATGGAGAGCGTCTCTGAACAGCAATCTTCAAGTCTTACCACAGATTCTCCATTGGATTTAGGTCTGGACTGTGACTGGGCCATTCTAGCACATGAATATGCTTTGATCTAAACCATTCCATTGTAGGTCTGGCTGTATGTTTAGGATCGTTGTCCTGCTGAAAGGTAAACCTCCACCCCGGTCTCAAGTATTTTGCAGACTAACAGGTTTTCTTCAAAGACTTCTCTGTACAGTGATACCTTGGTTCACAAACGCTTCTATTCATGAACAACTCGGTTTGCGAACAGAAGAGTTTGCAAAAATTTGCTTTCGGTTCGTCCATCTTCCCTGCTCTGACACGTGGTCGTGACTTCCTGTAGGCAAGATCGCGGTCACAGACAGACAGTAAAAGTGTACTGTGAAGGCACTTACAGTACTGTGAAATTTTTGGTGTGCTTTTAGCACATACTGTACACAACTGTACTGTACATCGCTCTGCACACTTGCTGTAAAACTTTTTTTGTGTGCTTTTTAGCACATACTGTACCAGACATCCAGTATGGCTCCAACAAAAATTCAGAGCAAGCATGGTGCGGAGAGGTAATGAAGGTGACAAGAATGTGCAGAGCAAGCATGGTGGTAAAAAGAAAGTGTAGAGCGTTAATGAGGGCACAAGAATGTGCAGAGTAAGCATGGTGGTAAAAAGAAAGTGCAGAGCAGTAATGAAGGTGGCAAGACTGTGCAGAGCAAGCATGGTTATAAAAAGAACATGCAGAGCGGTAATGAAGGTTACCAGAATCTGCAGAGCAAGCATGGTGGTAAAAAGAACGTGCAGAGCGGTAATGAAGGTTACAAGAACGTGCAGAGCGGTAATGAAGGTTACAAGAATCTGCAGAGCAAGCATGGTGGTAAAAAGAATGTGCAGAGCGGTAATGAAGGTTACAAGAACGTGCAGAGCGGTAATGAAGGTGACAAGAATTTGCAGAGCAAGCATGGTGGTAAAAAGAACGTGCAGAGCGGTAATGAAGGTTACAAGAACGTGCAGAGCGGTAATGAAGGTTATAAGAACATGCAGAGCGGTAATGTACATTGCTGTGCACACTTGCTGTAAAGCTTTTTTGTGTGCTTTTTAGCACATACTGTACTGGACATCCAGTATGGCTCAAAAAAAAATTCAGAGCAAGTATGGTAGTAAGAAGAAAGTGCGGAGAGGTAATGAAGGTGACAAGAATGTGCAGAGCAAGCATGTTGTTGAAAAGAAAGTACAGAGTGGTAATGATGGTGACCAGAATGTGCAGAGCGGTAATGAAGGTGACAAGAATGTGCAGAGCAAGCATGGTGGTAAAAAGAAAGTACAGAGCAAGGATGGTGGTAAAAAGAAAGTGCGGAGCAGTAATGAAGGTGACAAGAATGTGCAGAGCGGTAATGAAGGTGACAAGAATGTGCAGAGCAAGCATGGTGGTAAAAAGAAAGAGTAGAGCGTTAATGAGGGCACAAGAATGTGCAGAGTAAGCATGGTGGTAAAAAGAAAGAGTAGAGCGTTAATGAGGGCACAAGAATGCAGAGCAGAGTAAGCATGGTGGTAAAAAGAAAGTGCAGAGCAGTAATGAAGGTGGCAAGAATGTGCAGAGCAAGCATGGTGGCAAAAAGAAAGTGCAGAGCAAAAATGGTAAGAACAAGCTTGTGAAGAAAATAACCATCGACTTGAAAAAGGAAGTTGTAGAAAAGCATGACCGTGGTATTCGTGTGACAGATCTGGCCTCAGAGTACAAGATGGAGAAGTCGACAATCTCCACTATTTTGAAGAAGAACGCTGCCATCAAAGGAGCTGATGTGGCAAAAGGAGTAATGATGTTAACCAAGCAGAGGATACAAGTGCTGGAAGAGGTGGAAAAACATTTTGTTAGTGTGGTTGAATGAGAAACAGCTGATAGGTGATAGCGTTAGTGAAGCTATGATCTGTGAAAAAGCCAGGAAATTGCACAGTGAATTATTGCAAAAAAAAAACCCTCTACAAGTGCAGCAAGAGAAGAATTTAAAGCCAGTAGAGGGTGGTTTGAAAAAGTCCACAAGAGAAGTGGCATCCACAGTGTGACAAGACATGGTGAGGCTTCCAGTTCTGACAAGGCCGCTGCAGAAGCCTACAAGAAAGAATTTGAGGAATTCATGAAGGCAGAAGGATATGTCTCTCAACAAGTGTTCAACTGTGATCAAACAGGGCTCTTCTGGAAAAAGATGCTGAACAGAACCTATATCACGCAGGAGGAAAAGGCACTGCCAGGGCACAAGCCCATGAAGGACAGATTGACTCTTTTGCTGTGTGTGAACACAAGTGGCGATCTGAAGATTAAGCTACTACTGGTGTACCATTCCCAGACCCTTTGTGCATTAAGTGAACAAGGCCAGACTGCCTGTCATGTGGAGGGCCAATGCAAAAGCTTGGGTCACAAGGCAATTGTTCAGGGAATGGCTGCACAAGGTGTTCACACCCACCATAAGAAAATATCTTTCTGACAACCAACTGCCTGAAAGTTGCCTTCTTCTGATAGACAATGCCCAGCCTTGGTGGATGATATGGAAGCTAAGTATGACTTCATAAAGGTCAAGTTCCTCCCCCCAACACGACACCTCTTCTGCAGCCCATGGACCAGCAAGTGACCTTCAACTTCAAGAAGCTGTACACAAAGGTTCTCTTCACTATGTGTTTTAATGTCACTGAAGAGACGTCCTTGAGTCTTAAGAATTCTGGAAGAAACATTTCAATGTTCTCCACTGCATCAACTTCATTTACAAAGTCTGGGAAGATGTCAAGTACCGGACCTTAAACTCGGCCTGGAAGAAACTGTAGCCAGAATGTGTCACTAAACGTGACTCTGAAGGGTCTGATGCAGAGATAGTGGAAGGGATTGTGTCCATGGACAAGAGTATGGGTCTGGACGTCAATAGTGCAGACATAGAGGAGCTTGTTGAGGAACATAAGGAGGAGCTAGCCACGGCAGTTACTTTCTGAAGTCCACAGTGAGCAGCAGAAGGCGCTTATTTTTGAGCATTCCACTGAGGAAGAAGAAGACAGGGAGCAGATTAGCAGTGATGCCATAAAATCTATGGAAAAATGGAATGAGTGCCTTGATTTTTTTGAGAAGCACCAACCTAACATAACTGTAACAAACAGAGTGTTGAATCTGATGAACGATAACGTGGTCTCTCATTTCCGGAGGGTTATGCAGTGCAGGAAAAGACAAGCGACATTGGACAGATTTTTCACCAAAACTGAGCCTGCAGCTAAGAGACAAAGAAGAGAGGAAACCCCTGAAGGAGATCTCCCCAATGTCCTTATGGAGGGAAACTCTCCCTCTGAACAATAACCGCCTCCCACCTGCCTTCCTGTCCTCCATGCCAGAAGTCATCTCAAGCAATGTTAGTGTTCTCTCTCTTCATACTATACTGTACTTTGATTCATATTTTTGTGGTTCGAAAAAAAAAAGTTCAGAACGGATTAACCTTGTTTACAATGAACCTTATGGGAAAATTTGATTTGTTTGGCGACCAAATTCAGTTTGTGACCACGTTCGTAGGGGTCAGAATGGATTAATCTGATTTACATTGAACCCTGTGGGAAAATTTGCCTCGGTTCACGACCAATTCGATTCGTGACCAGAACCGTGGAATGAATTTAGTTCGTGAACCGAGGTATCACTGTATTTGACTCCATCCATCTTCCCATCAACTCTGACCAGCTTCCCTGTCCCTGCTGAAGAAAAGCATCCCCACAACACGATGCTGCCACCCCCATGTTTCACAGTGGGGATGGTGTGTTCACGGTGATGTACAGTGTTAGTTTTCCGCCACACATAGCGTTTTGGTTTTAGGCCCAAAAGTTCAATTTTGGTCTCATCTCACCTTCTTCCACATGTTTGCTGTGTCCCCAACATGGCCTCTCACAAACTGCAAATGGGACTTCTTATGGCTTTCTTTCAACCATGGCTTTCTTCTAGCCACTCTTCCATAAAGTCCATATTTGTGAAGTGCACGACTAATAGTTGTCCTGTGGACAGATTCTCCCACCTGAGCTGTGGATCTCTGCAGCTCCTCCAGAGTTCCCATGGACCTCTTAGCTGCTTCTCTGATTAATGCTCTCCTTGCCCGGCCTGTCAGTTTAGGTGGACGGCCATGTCTTGGTAGGTTTGCAGTTGTGCCATACTCTTTCCATTTTCGGATGATGGATTGAACAGTGCTCCGTGAGATGTTCAAAGCTTGGGATATTTTTTTTTTATAACCTAACCCTGCTTTAAAATTCATTTTTATTATTTTCCTTCCACTTCACAATTATGTGCCATTTTGTGTCGGTCTATCACATAAAATCTCAATAAAATCCATTTACTTTTTTGGTTGTAACATGATAAAATGTGGAAAATTTCAAGGGGTATGAGTTTTTCAAGGCACTGTGTATATATATATATATATATATATATATATATATATATATACACACACATACAGTACTGGACAAAAATCTTAGGCAGGTGTAACAAAAGCTATAAATTAGGAATGCTTTCAGAAATAGAAGTGTTAATAGTTTATTATTTATTAATTAACAAAATGGAAAGTAAATAAACAGAAGAGCAATCTATATCACTAGTTGATGTGACCGCCCTTTGCCTTCAAAACAGCATCAATTCTTCTAGGTATACTTACACAGTTTTTGAATGAACTCGACAGGTAGGTTGTTCCAAACATCTTGGAGAACTAAGCACAGATCTTATGTGGATGTAGGCTGCCTCAAATCCTCCTACCTCGTCATGTAATCCCAAACAGATTCCATGATGTTGAGATCAGGGCTCTGTGGGGGCCAAGCCATCACTTCCAGGACTCCTTGTTCTTCTTAATGCTGAACCCCAACTGTACTTGCAGAAATGTAACTCCAAAATGCAAGGAACGTCCACCATGCTTCACTGTTGCCTGCAGACACTCAAAATGTAACCACTCTCCAGCCCTTCACGTATGAACTGACTTTTGGTACTGCCAAATGTTTCAAATTTTGACTCCAGAGCACCTGCTCCCATTCTTCTGCACCCCAGTTCCTATGTTTTCATGCATAGGGAAACAAGGCTAAGTGGCTCAACTATGCACGGAAACATAAGAACTGGGGTGCAGAAAAATGGCAGAAGGTGCTCTGGACTGATGAGTCAAAATGTGAAATATTTGGCTGTAGCAGGAGGCAATTTGTTCACCGAAGGGCTGGAGGGCGGTACGATAATGGGTATTTGCAGGCAACGATGATGTATGGTGAAGGTTACATACAATTTTGGGGCTGCATTTCTGCAAGTGGAGTTGGAGATTTAGTCAGGATTAATGGGATCCACAATGCTGAAAGATATAGGCAGATACTTATCCATCATGACGTACCATCAGTGATGATACCAGCATGTGATTGGCCCAAAATGTATTGTGCAGCAGGACAATGACCCCAATCATATAACCATGTCATTGAGAACTATCTTCAGCGTAAAGAAGAACAAGGTCCTGGAAGTGATGGGTTGGCCCCCACAGAGCCCTGAGCTCAAAATCACGGAGTCTGTCTGGGATTATATGAAGAGACACAAGGATTTCAGGTAGCCTACAGCCGCAGATCTGTGGTTAGTTCGCCAGGATGTTTGGAACAACCTATCTCCCTATCTCTAGTTCCTTCAAAACCTGTGTGCAAGTCTACCTAGAAGAATTGAAGAATTTATGCAGTTTTGAAGGCAAAGGGTGGTAACACCAAATATTGATTTGACTTAAATTTCTCTTGTGTCCATTTACTTTCCATTTTGTTAATTGATAAAATAAACTATTAACACTTCATATAAGTACCTGTAATCAAAATAATAGCAATAAACAATTAACACTTCTATTTCTGAAAGCATTATACATATATATTCTTAATTTCCTTGCCTAATATATGAAAATACTGATAAATCCATGTCACAAAACATCCTTACAAATGTGGAACAGCTTAATCTGAATGCCCATACATTGATAATTTTTTTTTTTTCTTCAACCAGCGGGTGAAAATGATCCGATTTCCCCATTCACACATTCGTGGTAGAGGGGGGAATCACTCTCACTGTGTTAGTGAGTTCTGACGGCGGGGAAGGGGGCCCTTCCCCGCCATCAGAACACAATAATCAATGCTGCCAGCCATTGCTGGTAGCCCTGATCGATCAGGAAAACCCAAACAGGCTGGATGTACAGCAGTCAATTGGTAGATCAACTGTTGTACAACCAAGCTGCCAATACAGGGATCAAAATTTGTCCGTAACTCTTTCAAACAGCCGGGTAGCTGCAGCAGCTGGATTCCCATGAGGTGGTGTGAACTGGCCAGGTAGGAGACGAGGCATTTTGCAGTGGGCCTGCATTAGAATAGCCACCCGACACAGCCCTACCACACCTGGTGCGAACAGGCCCTCAAAATACTTTAAAAAACTAAATATTAATTAAAAATAATCTCAGGCAACACTACAAAATAACCTTCCAAAACTTACCTTTATGTGTTTTACTCCACAGCTGACCAATCTGTTGGGTTGATATGGATCCCAGGAGATATCAAATATCTATCAATAAATAAAATAATAAAAGAAAGAACTGAGTTAGATAATATATATATATATATATATATATATATATATATATATATACACACACACACACACACCCATCAGCCATAATATTATGACCACCCACCTAATATTGGATAGGTCCCCCCCCCCCAGAACAGCCCTGACCCATCGATGTGTGGACACTGCCTTTGCCAGCTTGTCTTCTTTCCAAAGTGCATCCTGATGCCATCTCTTCCCCTGGTAAGCGATGCATTCGCACCTTGCCATCCACATGATGTAATAGAAAACGTGATTCATCAGACCAGGCCACCTTCTTCCATTGCTCCGTGGTTCTGTTCGTATGCTCACATACCCATTGTAAGCACTTTTCGCTGTGGACATGGGTCAGCATGGGTACCCTGACCTGTCTGCAGCTATGCAGCCCCATACACAACAAACTGCGATGCCCCGTGCTTCCTGACAACTTTCTATCAGAACCAGTGCTGACTTTTTCAGCAATTTGAGCTACAGTGTATCTTCTATTGGATTGGACTACACAGGCAAGCCTTTGCTCCCTATGTGCATCCATCAGCCTTGGTCGCCTATGACCTTGTCGCTGGTTTTCCTTCCCTAGACCACTTTTGGTTGGTCCTGACCACTGCAGACCCGGAACATTCCACAAGAGCTGCACTTTTGGAGTTGCTCTGACTCTGACAATTACAATTTGGCCCCTGTCAAAGTCGCTCAATTCCTTCTGCTTGCCCATTTTTTCTGTTTTCAACACATTAACTTCAGGGGCAACATGTTCACTTGCTGCCTAATATATCCCCCCACTTTCAGGTGTCATTGTAATGCGATAATTAAGGTTCTTCACTTTACCTGTCAATGGTCATAATGTTATGGCTGATAAGTGTATATTTGCATTAGTATACATCTGAGGCCTGAGTTTTAATTAAAATGTTTAAAAAAGCCCTTCTAGGATTTAGCCTCCATTCACACATGAACAAGAGGGTGTTCACACACTTTCACTGCTTTTCTATTTATAAACAACAGATTGGGGGATGCTTATTTTCTCTGTGCCATTTATAAAGTGCACTGGATAAAGTACCAACTCACTCATAAAGTACCATGACACTGTGTACAGAGCCAATCTGAGTGGCTCTGTACCTTAGTATAAAGACACCAATTGCAGTGATCACATTATATAGACAGTGTATGTTTACATCTGTGAGCCCATCCCTTCCTCTTACAACAGAGGAAGGGGAGGAAATAGGAACCAGTCAATGAAAGACTCATTTAGTTCCTGAATTACTATCCAAATCTCGGCAGCAGTAGCTGCAAAATTTTTAACAATTCTTTCATCCCCCTGCTATACATAGTGTTTCTCTATATGTCCTTTATATCAATCCTTCACCTCCCTTGTCCTGCGCATTCACCCCTTCACCTCCATCCTCCCATTGTATCTGACGTGTACATTAACCCCTTCATCTCCTTGTCTCCCTATGTATGATCTTTACACACTGTATCTAGTGCACCAGCACCAACCTCCATGGTTCTACCCTCCTCAGTACCAGCATGTTCTTCATTTGACAAACAATTATGGCAAAAAAGGGATCACGTTGGTGTGTCCTATTTCCAAACAGGGGTCTTTTGGGAGATTTTCATACTTTAATAACAGAAAATAACAATTTTATTTGTCTGTTTGCTTATGTATAGTAAAAATTAAAATAAAAAATCCAGTGGTTATTAGATATCACCAAGGCAAAGCTCTACATACTAAAAAAAAACAAAACAAAAAAAGGTAAGAAAAAATATATATTTTTTTTTTTTTGCATAGTGTTGCATGACTGAGTATTTGTCAGTCAAACTATGACAACAATGAAACTGAAAAATGGTCTTGTAATGAAGGGGTATTAGGCCTCCTTCACATGGTTGTTTAGCCACAAAAACTGCAATTCCCATGGACAAGAAGGAGCGAAGTCTTGCAGCTGGAACGACAGCAAAAAGCAGAGAGCGCTCAGCCTGTATAACAGTGGTTCTCAACCTGTGGGTCGCGACCCCTTTGGGGGTCGAACAACCCTTGCACAGGGGTCGCCTAAGACCATCGGAAAACACATATTTCCGATGTGTAAAGAGCAGCTACTGTGTAGAAAGCAGCTACTGTGTTGAAAGCAGCAGTATTGGAGGTAAAACGACACTTCATGAATTATAATTAATGGGTAAATAATTTTATGGTTGGGGGTCACCACAACATGAGGAACTGTATTGACCGTTTCAATACCGTGCAATTTTACCCCTTCCTGCCCAGGCCATTTTTCAGGTTTCAGCGCTCTCACACTTTGAATGACAATTGCGCGGTCATACAACATTGTACCCAAACTAAAATTTTATCATCTTCTTCACACAGCTAGAGCTTTCTTTTGGTGGTATTTAATCACCGCTGGGGTTTTTATTTTTTGCTATATTAACAAAAAAAGACCAAAAATTTTGAAAAAAAAAAAAAAACACATTTTTCTTTGTTTCTGTTATAAAAGTTTACAAATAAATAATTGTTCTTCATAAATTTAGGCCGAGATGTATTCTGCTACATGTCTTTGGTGAAAAATAACCCAAATTAGGATGTATTTTTTAGTTTGTAGGAAAGTTATAGAGTTCACAAACTATGGTATAGATCTGAAAATTGATCAATCCTGAAGTACTGACAGCCAATCTAATTTCTTGAGGTCCAAGAATGTCAGAATAGTACAGATATCCCCCAAATGACCCCTTTTTGCAGAGTAGACAGTCCGACGTACTTCATAAGAGGAATGGCGAGTTTTTTGAAGTTGTATATTTTTTTTGTCATAATTTTTCGGAAAATGAAAAAAATTAGTTTCACTATTTTTTTTTTTTACATACTGTCACCAGTGCAGTACAGCGTCATCATATATCTGGCATGGCGGTGAACAGGGACACTGACTGGTGACAGTATGAAAAAAAATATATATATATATTTTTTTTTTTTTTTAATTTTTTTTTATTATATTTAATTTTTTATTACATTTTTTTTTATTTTTTTTAAGATTTTTTTTTCATATTTTACTATGACCAAAGTAGTACAATGTTACCATAGTAACATTGTACTACTTTGGGGAAGTGATCGGTATTTTTTTTTTTTTTTTACACAATTTGCTTATAGCAAAGAATTACTTTGCTATAAGCAAGCATTTACCTGAATGAAATCGATTCATTCAGCTTTTTTTTTTTTTTTTTTTTTTTTTTGTGCTTAGCTGTGATTTGGTCACAGCTAATCACATGACATGTGCATGTGACCTGTTGTGACCATTCACAGCTAGGCACTAGTATACAATGGATGGCATGAATGAAGCCATCCATTGTATACAACTGTCATGTGACCTGCTGTGATTGGTCACAGCAGGTCACATGGTACCAGCAACGGGAGCCGGTACTCGGATCTGTCATCGGCCGTGTCCGAGGTGCACGGCCGGTGACAGATCGCACTGCTGCGCCGCTCTGCATTAGCGCAAACGGCGCATGTGCGGGAGCACGCCAAATGGCGTGCACCCGGAATGGAGAGACACATCTGAAGCCGCCAAACGGCCATTGGCCGGGCGGCTAATGGTTAAAGGGTCGCGGCATTAGGAAGGTTGAGAACAACTGCTGTATAAGGTAGGGCTGCCAGCGGCTATTGCTGTTGGCATGCAGCTGCACACCAAGTTCGTTACCGGCAGTTATGGACGGATATTCGAGCCTGGAAGTAGTCAAATGGGTTCAAGTTCCAATATCCATCCCTATATTTGTTACAGGCTGACTGATATTTTTCGCCTGCGCCAGCTGCAGCGATCCATTGATTCTGGTGTATGCAGCTAAGTGGTCATGTGAAAGAGGCCTTATAGGCTGATAATCAAGCATTGAAGGTCTACATGTAATATAGAGAAATAATTATAATGATTGCTGAGCCGGGACCAGCCGTACATAACATGTGTACTCAATAGGCTGGTGGGACCAGCTGTGCTGGAAGTGGCACTCATCATCATTTATGGCATCAACTACCTCTTCAAATGAAAATCTCTTTACAAAAGTGAAAGGAAGTACATGAATTACCATTTTGAAATGTGGGGTAATTGTCGGCCCTCTGGCTGGTTTTATCTCTCTGCCTCTTAATTGAACACACATCCTCAGTACAGGTTATCACAGCAACACACAGACATGACATCAAACACCAAATACAAGACCAGGAATAGAACACGGGGTGTAAGCACTTCATAGTACCCTGTCTGAATGGCCAGTCGCTGTAGCCAGAATTTTGCCTTTCTGCCAATCCCAAATGCAGATGGTGTTTTTGGCATCCAGTCCAACAGAGGCGAGGCGCTATACAAACCGAAAGAAAGAGAAAGTCTAGTTAGTTTGGGAACACAATAATATTTAGAATAATTTTAGTGGGTGCCTATACCGGTCATACACTTGCCAGGGCATTTAAAATGGGTTGTGGATGGGTGTTGCAGCATGACAATGACCCAAAACACACGGCCAAGGCAACAAAGGAGTGGCTCAAGAAGAAGCACATTAAGGTCCTGGAGTGGCCTAGCCAGTCTCCAGACCTTAATCCGACTGAAAATCTGTGGAGGGAGCTGAAAGTTCGAGTTGCCAAATTTCAGCCACCAAACCTAATGACTTGGAGAGGATCTGCCAAGAGGAGTGGGCCAAAATCCCTCCTGAGATGTGTGCGAACCTGGTGGCCAACTACAGGAAACGTCTGACCTCTGTGATTGCCAACAAGGGATTTGCCACCAAGTACTAAGTCATGAAGGGGATCAAATACTCATTTCCCTCATGAACATGCAGATCAGTCATCATTTGTTAGACATGCATTTCTTTTGAATTGTTTTGTTGATATTCTGTCTCTCAGTGTTACAATACACCTACCATTCGATTTTTAGACCGATCATTTATTTGTGAGTGGGCAAACATTCAACATCAGCAGGGGATCAAATACTTATTTCCTTCACTGTATCCATAAATCGATTATATAGTTACGAATGAACTTGAAGAAACCATTGCGACTTGAGTCACGCAAAATCACATGACAATGGATATTACATTGTTTTCAATGGTGCCCATTCACATCAATGCGACTGTATGACTTTGGTGCGATTTCAGTGCGATTTTGGCCCCCTTAGGATATGCAGACCTCATCAAAGTTGTATCCAAGTTGCACTACATAATCTCACTGAAAATCGTATCAAAGTGAGATCACAGCAGTGTGAATCGAGCCTCAGAGCTTGTTCTCGGTAGAGGTAAGGGGGAGTAAAACCCTGTGGTTGAGCTGTGTTTTTTCATCCCACTACCACTTTTAGCTGCAGAGGCAGCAGCCAAGGTGTACCATGGGATGCGCAAATCATATCGTCCGACGCCAGGGACATGCAGTTCCAAGCACTGGGTGGGTCTTTTTTTCTTACATTCACGTAGCTCTGCTGTGGGCAAGCAGCAGGGTTTACTTTATTCAGTGTGATTTTCATGTCAGTTTTCAGTGTGATTGTCAAAGGTAGTCGTTTCAGCGGTTCAGGTGCGATTCAAATCTGTCCTCTAGCCACTTCTATGCAAATCTGCCTTCCAGCCTCTTCTATGCAAAACCAGCTATAAATCACATCCTATGTGAACAGTTATCTCAGAATGCCACTATATGCTGTGCGCATCGCTCCAAACGTACAAGACTCTTCTTTTAATTGGATCAAAATCGCACCGCATACATGTGAACATCCTACCAGTGGTGTATTGCCCTAGGCAACACAAATATCGTCTGCCCCCATGGACACCAATCAACACCAACCTCTCCCCCTCCCGTGGAGAGAGCCTGACATTGACCAACAACACCCCTGCCCCCTACCTGGGAGAGCCTTCCACTACCCCCCCCCCCCCCCACCCCAGCGATAGAGAGAAAGACACTCATCTTCATCTCCGGTCATCCCTGGGAATGAGTGCCAGGCTCTACATACACCATCAAGCAGCTCGCAGCTCTTGGATCCCACCTGGTTCCCATGGTGCACATGTCCCTTCTTTCATCCCTTCTTCTGGGGGAGGTGCTGCCGCCCTGAAAAATGCCGCCCTAGGCAAGTGCCTTGTTTGCCTTGTGGTAAATATGCCCCTGCATCCTTCATGGAAAACAACGTATTTTCAGATGCCAATGCAAATCTATACTTTTCGAGTCTCATCCAATCCACATCAGATTTGCATCATAGTGAACCGGAACTAAGGCTCCATTCACACCCCTGCCCTCCACCTGAGAGAGCCTTCCACTACTACCCCCCCCCCCCTCCCATCCCCTAGCAATAGAGAAAAAGACACTCATCTTGTAATGTACAGCGCTGAGCGAACTATCAGCGCTTTCTAAATACTGTATAATAATAATAATCTTCATCTCCGGTCATCCCCGGGAATGAGGGCCAGGCTCTACATACACCATCAAGCAGCTTGCAGCTCTTAGATCCCACCTGGTTCCCATGGTGCACATGTCCCTTCTTTCATCCCTTCTTCTGGGGGATGTGCTGCCCCCCTGAAAAAGCCGCCCTAGGCAAGTGCCTTGTTTGCCTTGTGGTAAATATGCCCTCTGCATCCTTCATAGAAAACAATGTATTTTCAGATGCCAATGCGAATCTATACTTTTCGGATCTCATCCGATCCGCATCAGATTTGTATCATAGTGAACCAGAACTAAGGCTCCATCAGTCTGAACCAAGACTAAGGCTGCATTCACACCTGGGCATTTTGAGATCATGGCAGAATCACACTACAATCACAAAATGCATACTCAGGTACCATTATTTTTCAATGGCACCAAAACACGGTGCGGTTTTGCCGTGATTTATTGCGCGTGAAATTTGTCACCCAAAAAGGAGCAGGATAAATTGTGCGACAATCACAGCAAAACTGCACTGCTAATGGCACCTGAACCTGCGATTATATAGCGTTTTGAGATCGCAGGGAGAATTGCAGCGATTCTGCCGCAATCCCAAAATACACAGGTGTGAATGGAGCTTCGTGAAGCGGAAACAGGAGCTTGATTTGGCTGCTCAGCATGCGCTTGTACTGAGCACCCCACCCTGTGTGCTAGGATAACCTGAAGGAATACAGTTTATTTTTCTCTCATTGGGGCCTGCGAGTCATTTAGTCGCTCAGCAGATGCGCTGCTGAGCGGTAAGAGAGCCCGTTACTCCCCTTTCCTGATGAGCACCCAGTCGGTGCTCGCCATACTGCAAGGTCTCTCCCCTTCCTGCTAGTCCCCGGGTGCGATGCTGGAGGCAGAGTAACAGATAAACAGCACAATGTTACGACTTTATTTAACCACTTCCAGTCCGGACACTTTTACCCCCCTCCTGTCCAGGGCAATTTTCAGCTTTCAGCGCTGTCACACTTTGAATGACAATTGCGCAGTCATGCAACACTGGATTTTTTACCATTTTTTTGAGACAGATAAAGCTTTATTTTGGTGGTATTTATTCACCGCTGGGATTTTTATGTTTTTTGCTATGTAAATGAAAATGTCCAAAAATTTTGAAAAAAAAGTGTTTTTTGTATACAATTTTGCAAATAAATAATATTTCATCATAAATCTTGGCCAAAATGTATTCCATTATCTTTTTAGTAAAAAAAAAATAAATAAGCCAAATTAGTTTATAACCAAAAATTATAATTTTTTAAAAAACATTTTTACATTTGTATATTATTATTTATGGTTTTTTTTTTTACATACTGTCACCCTAGCAGTACAGTGTCACCATGGTGACACTGTACTACTTGTAAGGGGGTGATGAAGATTTTGTTTTTTGTTTTTTTTACACTGATTGCTTTTACACCCATATAGGATCTAAAAGCAATAATTTCTCCTTCTCTCTGTCTGCATTCTTGCAGCCATTGAGAAATACTGAGTGAGCTGAGATTGGTCACAGCTTGTCACATGGTACAAGGCTGTTGTGAATAGCCTTGTACCATGTGACCTCTGTGATCATTCACAGATTTCACACGTAGTAAGCAATGATGTCAGGAAGTCACATCTTGCTTACTACTTTGCATGTGATCACTGATTGGCCAATCAGTGATCACATGATCGGGACCTCGTACAGAGGTCCCGTCCGACGATTGGTGTTTCACTGTGTCCGGAGGGAGCGCGCACAAGCAGGGTGCGGGGGGAGGTCGTTTATAAACGGCCACCCGACCCTGCAGTGCCACCGTCTGGCCGTTTATATACAACGGCCAGACGGGAGGTGGTTAAATACGGTTTTGGTCAAAATTATTTTTTATCAGGACAAGTAGATTGGGACCCCCATTTAGTCCCTTGGACAAGTAGTTCCTTAACAAAATTTCCACACCCCTGCAATGCTTTGCTTCGTCACCACAGCTAGAATTATACCCCTTGTCACTTTCAGCAAGCATAGCGCCCGTCTAATGCAACCCATTCAAGTGAATGGGGCAGCTCTGCATGCCCCCAGCAAACATGTGCAATGCTTTGAATACTAAAGTAGAACTATAGGCAACACTTTTTTTTTTCATTTTGGATAGCGTAAGGGGGGGGTATAACCCCTGCCAGATTTTTTTTTTTTGCCATCTGTGTCCCATTGGCAAGATTTACCTTCACTTCCTGTCCCATAGCCAAACAGGAAGTGAGGGGAAATCCCTCCAAATAAAGGAAATTCCTTGGGGACACCCAGGTCACTAGAACTAGTGTTCACATTGGAAGATTTCCCCCTATTACTTTTGTGGGGACAACCCAGAATTTGGTATTTTCTTTTACTTTCACTTTCAATGATAATGGTCGACAGGACAGATGGAGAGGGGGGATCTCCCTAACTGGGATGCAGGCAGCAATGAGAACTGACAGGTGTTCTAATCCATCTCCATTCTATCCAAAACCCCCCAAAAAAGGTTTGCTTTTAGTTATACTTTAAAAAGGAATTAAATAGGGTTTTTGCCTTGTGGTGCTTAGATGCAGTGTAGTTCCACTTTAGGTGATACCAGGGGCGGACTGACCATTCGAGCACTTGGGCACTGCCCGAAGGCCCGGGGTCAGTAGGGGCCCCATGAAATGCCCCTGGTACCTTTTATAGGCTTTTTTGGGTGTGCTTTGAGTGTGGGCAAGGACACAGGGGCCCCATGATCTCCTATTGCCCGGGGGCCCCATGAGTTGTCAGTCCTCCCCTGGGTGATACTATAGTGTTTCCCTTTGCTCCTTACCTGGCGGCTACTTAAAAGGTTATGTGAAGAGGGGAGAGGCGGGGGAGCTGGGCCAGCACAGACAGCACTTAGCCACTCCAAGAAGGAGGGAGAGGGCCATGATGTGGCAGAGGAATTGACTCCTGCTGGGAGAGTCACATTTTCTAACAAGTTCAAAGTCACGTTGCTGGTAAATAAAAATCCTTTATGAAATGAAAACACGCAGCAAATAAGTATTTAAAAAACTTGATTTTTTTGAGCTTTTACCTGCATATTTCATGCTTATGACAGGGGTGTCTTTAAATATGAAATAAATAGAGTACAGGATGCAAGGAAGGAAGGACAAAGGCCAGGGTATGTCATTAGTAGCAATGCATGGTCATGCTGGGATGTCTGCATCCAGAGCCTGGAGGTGCAAATACAGAAAAGACAAACCTGTCCATCTGAATCAAATGCCAGGCCGGCCACTCCATGCGTGTGCACATCTTTCAGGATGGAGATGGTCTGTACTGTGTAGGAATCCCATATACAGATGTAAGGATCCTTCCCAACCTGTCCTGTTGCGACAAGAGTTCTGTCTGGATGTAACGCAAGGCTGCAGAGATAAACAACAAATAAATAAATGTTCAATATTACAAAACCAGGAAACGAGGTAGGCACTGTCTGACTTGCTGCAGATTCTAAAGCACATTATAAGAAGCTCACAGTGTGCAGTGAAATCAAGTAAGCAGTATTAGTCCAGGAAAAGAGCCGGTACAACCATGCAAGACTGAAGGGAAGGCCGGCCGGAGTTTAGTGTTAAAGGGTCAGTCCACCCAAAACTGATATTTTGTAGACTCCACCTCCGCAACATCTCCAAGATACGGCCGTTCCTAACCTTGGAAACCACTAAGCAACTCATTCACTCCCTTGTTATATCTTGCCTTGACTATTGTAACTCCCTCCTCATTGGCCAACCTCATCGCAGGCTATCCCCTCTTCAGTCTATCATGAATGCTGCTGTCAGACTCATTCACCTTACTAACCGTTCTGTATCTACCACCCCTCTCTGCCAATCCCTCCACTGGTCTCCACTCAGTGTCCTCCATCCCTCTGCCAATCCCTCCACTGGTCTCCACTCAGTGTTCTCCATCCCTCTCTGCCAATCCCTCCACTGGCCTCCACTCAGTGTCCTCCACCCCTCTCTGCCAATCCCTCCACTGGTCTCCACTCAGTGTTCTCCATCCCTCTCTGCCAATCCCTCCAGTCGCCTCCACTCAGTGTCCTCCACCCCTCTCTGCCAATCCCTCCACTGGTCTCCACTCAGTGTTCTCCATCCCTCTCTGCCAATCCCTCCACTGGCCTCCACTCAGTGTCCTCCACCCCTCTCTGCCAATCCCTCCACTGGTCTCCACTCAGTGTTCTCCATCCCTCTCTGCCAATCCCTCCACTGGCCCCCACTCAGTGTTCTCCATCCCTCTCTGCCAATCCCTCCACTGGTCTCCACTCAGTGTTCTCCATCCCTCTCTGCCAATCCCTCCACTGGCCTCCACTCAGTGTCCTCAACCCCTCTCTGCCAATCCCTCCACTGGTCTCCACTCAGTGTTCTCCATCCCTCTCTGCCAATCCCTCCACTGGCCCCCACTCAGTGTTCTCCATCCCTCTCTGCCAATCCCTCCACTGGCCCCCACTCAGTGTTCTCCATCCCTCTCTGCCAATCCCTCCACTGGCTTCCCATTGCCCAACAGATAAAATTCAAAACACTAACAATAACGTATAAAGTCATTTATAACTCTGCCCCAAATTACATCACTGATCTTGTCTCTAAATATCACCCAAACCGTACTCTCCACTCCTTGCAAGACCTCCTACTCTCTAGCTCCCTTGTCTCCTCCTCCCATGCTCATCTCCAGGACTTCTCCAGAGCTTCCCCCATCCTCTGAAACTCTCTACCCCAATTTATCAGACTATCGCCTACACTGCTCAGTTTTAGGCGATCTCTGAAAACCTCTCTCTTCAGGGAAGCCTATCCTGCCGTCAGCTAATAATGGAATCTTCTACTCTTCCAACCAGTCCATCCCCCACAGTTTTGTATCACTAGCCCCTCCCTCTTAGATTGTAAGCTCCCAGGATCAGGGCCCTCCTATCCCTCTTGTATTGAACTGTATTGTTGCTGTATTGTCTCCCGTTATATTGTAAAGTGCTGAGCAAACTGTTGGTGCTATATAAATCCTGTATAATAATAATATATAAATCCTGTATAATAATAATAATAATATATAAATCCTGTATAATAATAATATATAATCCTGTATAATAATAATAATATATAAATCCTGTATAATATAATATATAAATCCTGTATAATAATAATAATATTTTAGATTTTAGCACATGCTTAATGCAGGCCATACATGGTTCGAATTCCAAACGATTTTTCATCCGAAAAACGAAAAGGTCGTTTACTCAGTAATCCGATGGTGCCATCAATTATTTAAAAAATTGGCTGACCATGTCATAAAGTTCACACCATATAACAGGCGAAACTTCTGTTCCTTCCAGGTCACAGCTCATGCACATACTCTTTTCGGAAAACGATCGTACAATTTGACCATCATTGAGTCGAAAATCGGTTGTTTTTCATGAATTTTCCAACATGCCCGATCACCGAAAAGGGGAGGAACCACGAAAATCGTCTGGTACCATTGATCCACTAACAGTGCGAAAATCGGACGATTATTCTTAGGTCCGATTTTCAGACAAAAAATCGGTCGAATTTTGACCCATGTATGGCCGACCTAAGAGTGAGCTGAAACCATCATAAAATGTGTTTATCTCCTAGGAAGTGTATTGGGGAGGTCTCTGTGTTTCAGTCCTGGATTATGAACACATACTGCGACTTATATAAAGGGGCACCACACCCCATGCTGGATTTATCTACTTGCTTTATATTATGGAGAATGTACAAGAAGTGGACAGGATCGGGGTCAGGAATGATGTGGCATGGAGGTCTCACTGTTGGAGTTTCCAGTAAGGCACTAGGGACCTACCCAGCTCACCATGCTCCACCTATAACCAAAATATCTCTTGTGAGCAGAGTGCCCCTTTAAAACAGAGGTCTTCAAGCTATAAAACCGGCCCCATCAAAGATTTTATCTGACCCTCTGATGTAGAGGGGGACCCTGATTTAAGAGGGACTTTGATGGGCACTATGATGTAAGGGGGGACTCTGATGAGGACACTGATTTAAGGGGTGACTCTAGTGAGGATAATGATTTACAGGGGACTCTACTGGGGATATTGATTTAAGTGGGGACTCTAATGAAGACCCTGATGTAAGGGGATACTCTAATGGGGACCCTGATGTAAGGGGGGACTCTAATGGGGACCCTGATGTAAGGGGGGCTCTAATGGGGACCCTGATGTAAGGGGGGACTCTAATGTGGAATCTGATGTAGGGGGGAGGTCTCTAATGGGGACCCTGATGTAAGGGGGGATGCTAATGGGGGCCCTGATGTGGGGGGGGACTCTAATGGGTAACCTGATGTAAGGGGAGACTCTAATAGGGACCCTGATGTATAGTGGGAGTCTAATGGGGACCCTGATGTAAGGGGGACTCTAATGGGGAACCTGATGTAAGGGGGGACTCTGATGGGGATAGTGCTTTAAGGGGGGCTTTGATGAGAACCCTGTTGTAAGGTGTACTCTGATGGAAATACTAATATAAGGGGGGATTCTAATGCTGAACCTGATGTAAAGGGGGACTCTAATGGGGAATCTGCTGTAAGGGGAAAGTCTAATGGGGACCCTGATGTAAGGGGGAACTCTAACGGGGAACCTTATGTAAGGGGAACTCTGATGAGGATAGTGCTTTAAGGGGGGCTTTGATGGGAACCCTGTTGTAAGGTGTACTCTGATGGAAATACTAATGTAAGGGGTGATTCTAATGGTGAACCTGATGTAAAAGGGGACTCTAATGGGGAATCTGATGTAAGGGGAGAGTCTAATGGGGACGCTGATGTAAGGGGGGAGTCTAATGGGGACCCTGATGTAAGGGGGGAGTCTAATGGGGACCCTGATGTACGGGGGGAGTCTAATGGAGAACCTGATGTAAGGGGGACTCTAATGGGGAAACTGATGTAAGGGGGGACTCTGATGGGGACCTTGATGCAAGAACAGACTCCAATGTAAGGGGTTGCCTTGATGGGAACTCTGATATACAGGGGACATTAATGGGTTCATGATTTTATGGAATCTATTTCCTCTGTTTCTAACTACCATGCAGATTACAAAGAAAAACAAACTCCAAGTAAAACACATTCATTCATTTAGATGTAGTTTGTTCATGTATGAAAGTGATTGTTTTCGGCCTGATATGTGATGTGGCCCTTATACTGAAATGTATGAAGACCCCTGGTTTACATCCCCACTCCATCTCCCCCTGTACAGGCTCACCGCTGATCTAACAGCACCTTCCACTCCCAGACAGTCTCTATTACTATGAATGTTATTTTAGCAAAACTGAAAATCGCCGTCCGCCATTGGCTGCGGCACCAACGACGTGATTATTATTCATAGATGGAAAGTGACTGATTGAGGTCTATGTGTGCAGTCACATCAAGGTGAGAGGGGGAGCCGTGTGCTGGGGGATTCTGGCAGCTGAATGTGAGAATTCGGAGGGCGGTGTCATCGGCAGAGCGGCGCGGGGAAGGGCGAGCCATTATTCTGGGATAGTTCACAGAATACACAACATCACACTTCTTACATGTACAGAGCTGTGAAGAGAGTCAAAGAAACCTGTCGCTGTCGTGTTTTCTATGAAATGTAGAAATGAAAGGTGCGAGGTGAATGGTACATATTTGGTTTAAAGCGGTATTAAACCCAAACCCAGAACTGTAATATATTGCAGCTTACCAATCATTACATGTGGCGGCTGCATTAGTGTTCTTTTCTTTGTGGCCTTTTTCCCCTCTGTTTTCACCAGGTGATCTGGCCGGTAACACACCGGAGCAGATTGAAAATAGGTAAGTACACAGATCTTTTTTATACAGGGTAGGTAGGAGGGAACATCTCAAAGAATAGTTATAAATATGTTTTCTTCCTCTTCCATTTTTCTTTATAAATAACAAACATGTTATACTTATCTGCTCTGTGCAGTGTTTTGCACAGATCAGCCCCGATCCTCTTCAACGGGTCCCCCACTGGTGCTCCTGGCTCCTCCTTCCTGCTGAGTGCCCCCAGAGCAAGCAGCTTGCTATGGAGCCACCCAAGCAGGTTTGCTCTAGAGCCACTGCTCTGCGTGTCCATTCACAAGCAGAGCTGCAGCTTGGCCCCATTACATCTCATGGACTCACTTGCTGTGAGTGACAGCAGCGGGAGAGGAGAGAGAGTCCCTGGAGAGCTGAGGCTCTCATGCACATCACTGGATTGCAATGGGACTCATGAAAGTAAAAGAGAGGGCTGAGGGAGGCTGCTGCACACAGAAGGTTTTTTACCTTCATTCATAGAATGGATGGTAAAAAACTTTGAGCCTTTACAACCACTTTAAAGTGTTACTAAACCCAGGACCCTGCATTCACTATATCTGGTCTCCCCAGACCCTGCATTCACTATATCTG